TGCGTAACAAAACATATTTGGGATTTTTTTTTGTTTTCAACGTGGAGAGAAATACGGGAATAATGCGTTAATTGTTTTGTGTTTAACGACGCAGCGATGTGTGCGTGTCATAAAGTGCTTAATGTCACATGTTGTGTTCCCTGGACCATGCAGTTGAGATATGACTCGCCACCGATGTGAGCAGTGGCCGGGAATCGAACTCAGCTGGCGACGACCACCCCCTTATTCTCTTCTCTTAAATAACCGGCGCTGACCTACGTGATGAAGTATGGTCAAATAACCCACAAGACCCGCACGGCGCGGATAGCCCCGCATCTAAGCCAGCAGTTGTTCATATCCGTATTTTTGTTTATTTTACTTTGATAACCATATGTATAGTTTTGAATTAAAAGATACAAATTACTACAAATTGCACAATGCACGTATCTTCAAGTCAGGCCATGTATAAGAGGGGGTATAATAATAGTTTTCAACTTAATAGAAAAAAAATAGTTTTCGAATGCACACATAATATAATATCGTCGCTAAGGGAAAATATGGAATTAAATCTGAACAGTGTAGAGATGTATGCTTGGAATTTCATTGAAACACTGAAAAGAGCGTAAAACGCATGAGTTAGAAAACACAAGATAAAACAAATAAATCATCATGTTATAAATATTTGTTTAAACTTCAACACATTCGTCAATTACATTGCCTTAAAGAGAAAAAAATATATAACGTATATATCTATGATATTAAGTGGGCTTGGTATGACGGATGATGATCTTAGAGTAACCACGGAGTGGAGGCCGATGTGATCGTCTGCTCGAGAAGATGGATCGATGAAATCCATCTCGTGTGACCGTGTCACGTGGAGGATTGTTGGGGAGGCCTTCATCCAGCAGTAGATTGATGATGGTGATGATGATCATGATATAATTTCCTACGCACAGTCTCAAACCTCTATATACCATTTAGGTAAGGTATCATGTGCGGTACATATTTGCAAACAAATATCTCACCTTTCACTGTTAGACGAAGCGTTCAGTCATTAAAATGTATTAAAACAAATTACTGTATAACCTTTCACTGGTAGATAATGGGGGTTGTGTAACCATACTTCACCACAGCTGGTGTGTTGCGTATTTTTGAATTCGGTCGGGGACTAAGACCGCTTCAGCTATCTACCACTCGTCATCAATGTGACTCGTAGCCGGTGATTGAACACGGTCGGTTTTCATAGCGCGATGCGCTAATCACTTGCGCCACCGCTCCTTTCAATTAAACCATCGGTAATATATGCATTGGGCAGGACACAAACCTTACGCGACGGGATGCGTCCCACGCCGCGTGAGGCCACGTGGAGCTACACGCGCGCACCTCCGACGAGAGTACGATTGGCTACGTACGGCGCGAAAGAAATTCAACACAGTACACACAAAGACAAAGACAAAGATCCCCTTTAATGCCTTAACAGACTGTTGGGGCAAGTGCCGCTAGCGAGCGCCTACGAAGGCCGGCACGGCACACCAGGGGGTGGCCAGCACGACGCCCGGCCGCCTTTGCCTCCCCATTGGCGATGTTTGCACACCGCACCGGGTACTCATTTGAGGCTAAGTCGACCTAGAGGAGGACCACGAACCGATTCCGATAATCTTTACTGGTGTTCGCTGTGAGCGGGAATCGAACTCGGGTCCCTGGGTTCAAAGCGCTCACCGCTACGCTACCGCTCCATAACATTCATACACACGACACATGGCGATGCGGGAATCGTTGTTGTGTTTCTTTTCCAGTCGTTGCTTGTCCTCTCCGTGCTGCCCTGCCTTTGCTGTCTGCTCCTTGTTCCGTTGTGTTCGTGCCATCTGTCTCGGATGGATTGCGATTCACACGATGTTTTGTTCTTCCTCTCGCTCTGTCTCGTTCAGTTATATTTTTCGTTCGTTCGTTTCGTTTCTCGTTCGGTCTGTGTCGTTTGCAACGATTATTTTGTCGCGTCTCTGCTGTTCATCTCGCTCACGCTTGTCACCTTTGTACCGTCTGTCTCGTTTTTTGTCTAATTTTCACTGTTTACCTCGTTCGTTCTCGACCTGCGCTGTCTCGTCGTACGTATGTATGTTGATCTGCCAGTCATCTCAGTCAGTCGACCCATGGCACCTGGGTCTGTCCCGTGACCTGTCAGCGAGCCTTCGACACTTCACTTGGCCTCAACGTGCACCTGGCCTGGCACATGCGCCGTGGTTATGTCACCGTCACTTCTTGGCGAATGTGGGTTATTGGTATGAGATCATTTCGATGCATTGAGATTATTTATATAATTTTGGTGATATATATAATGAAATGGTGGGCCACTTTGTTGAGCTATCATTTGTAGCCAGGTCGCTTCTGAAAATAAGTTCACACCTCAGTGGGCTTTGCCTGGTAGGATGGTGATGGTTTCGTGTTGTATTTCTGTTTGTGTTTGGGTGATTCGTTTACCTTGCTTGTACTTTGCACTCCTATCGTGTTTGTGTACTGTTTGTTGTTGTAACGTTCTTACCCCGTGCCACTAATGGACAAAAAAGAGCTTCTTAGCTCATCGGATTCCCCCTGTATAAATACATAGTCGGATTCTGAACATCGTTCGCACAGTACGTAGCCAATAGTACGTAGCCAAAGTTGGAGGAGCGAGAAAAGGACAACAAACGTTGGTGTATGAGGCGGTCCATAAATGACGTCACGCGATTTTGGACGATTTTTGGCCCCTTTCGTCACACGGCGTCACAAAAAGTCAAACCCCCCCTCAAATATGGCGTCGCAAAGCTCTGCCCCCCCCTCCCAAAAATATAAAACACGCTTCAAATCGCTTTAAACTTTTGTTATTGTAGTGCGTATTTAATGTGCCGCAGCACTCTGATGTTGTAGATAAGTCTATTTAATTTCTCAAACCACCCCCCCCCCCCTCGTCACACATCGTCACAAATGTCTGAATCCCCCCCCCCCCCAGATGCGTGACGTCATTTATGGACGGCCCCTATCTCGTTTGTTCTGTTTCAGGACTCATATTCGTTGCAATCATTATCCTAGTTTTCATTAACTGTGAATCGAAATATGTTTAACTCGTGAGAACTGAAGAGGCCAGGATAGCCGCATGTGCAAGGGTGACCTGCATGGGTCCTTCAACATTAGCACAGCAAAACGAATCACGTAAACACACATCTGGGAGGGACGAGAAACCCCCCAAAGCAAGCATAACAGAACAATGGAAAAGCACAGGGTTTAAACAACACGGGGAATTAATACTCTTTGGTTCTATTCGGTAAAGTCACTTAAAAAACAACAAAAAAACTACAAAAAATAAAAAAGTAAAAAAATCACGACGTTTCGGCCACAACACAAGTGGCCTTCATCAGGTGAAGGGAGCAGACTGTCTAGAGGACAGCGCTGGAGTGAACACAGCCAAGCTCAGACCGCGACCTTTATGCTGTGTGAGAGAAATTAAGGTGCCTTGACAAAGGAATTAGCATAAAAAATAGCATTTAATTGGCGGACTTAGCATGATGAACGATGTACAGGGGGGGGGGGAGCAAGTGCAGACCGGTGAGGGGGGGAATTTACATATTGATGGTGTGAAAAGGGAATTTGAGCAGCTGCGAAAGTTTGGGATACCACTACTTGAAAAAATATACTGTACTATTGAAAATTAGTTTAATGTTTGGTTTGATTCAGAACTTCTTTCCAATGGTTGCTTAATTTGAAACCATCCTCTCGGTTGAAATTGTGTCTGTGTTTGTAAATCTGAATTGCCTCGTGAACAAATCTCTGATAAAAACCCGTGGGTTTGCAAAGAACCTTGGTATCGGAGAAAATTATATCGTGATCACCCACAGTGTTGTAACAGTGATCAGCTACGGCAGAAGAATTCGTTCTGCCGTGTTTCAAATCTAATTTGTGCTCGCGAATTCGGTCAGAGACATGTCGTTTCGTCTCCCCGATATAGCAGTCACCACAGGTGCAGATCAATTTGTAAACTCCGGGGTACTGTAAGTCAGGAATGACATCCTTCACGGAAGAGATCAGGTCACGGATTTTGTGTACTGTATTGAACCGGACCAGTATCTTGTGTTTGTTTAGAACTTTGGAGATCTTTTTAGTAACGCCTGCTATATATGGTAATATGATGGTTTTGATCGGAGTATCAAGTGGCTGTTTCTGTATTGTTTGACAAATAAAGTACAAAAAAAAATAAAGCAAGTCTGGATCATAATGTTTATTTATACTGGAGGAATCCGATAAGCTATAAAGCTCTTTTTTTTACAGATCTCCGGTAGGGGCGGGTCAGAACGATGCAACAACACACAATGCTAGAACACGATATGAGTATTAAATATAGGAAAGGTAAACAAATTACTTATATACAAATAAAACTAAACTTTTTTCATCTTACCAGGTAAAGCCCATTGAGCCATTAGCTTATTTTTAAGTGAAATCGGAGCAAATGCAACTTTACACTACAAACCGAAAACGGAATTTAACATTTACATAAAATTAAGTCGAAGTTGGTCATGTTCCAACGTCGACACTACGTTGGCACTAACCATCAACGATATTATTCGCTCCTTACACACGTGGCGTCCTCGACGCTTGCCATGACGTCACACACGGAGGCGTCGACGTGATGGCGAAGACGTCACCGGGTAGTGTAGCGGGTAGCGGCTTCTGCTCTCCGAACCCGGTGCGCCGAGGTCGATTCCCACTCACGGCCAACACCGGTGACGATTATCTGGTGTGGTTTGGTAAAAAAAAAAAAATCGCCACCAGGAAGACAAAGGCGGCCGGGCGTGGTGCTGGCCAACCAACCCCCTCGTGTACCGTGCCACTGCTGACTTCAATAGGTGCCGCTCGCTCACAGCACTTGCCCCAACAGTCTGCCGAAGCTATACTGGGGGGGGTGAGATCTTCGCCTTTGCGATGTCCGTGTCGACGTCACCGCGCTGCGCGCGACAACGTCACCGCGCTGCGCGTGATGACGCCATCGCGTCGGGACGTCACCGCCCGCTGATTGTTGCTGTTACCGTGGCAACGGCCGCTTCCCGACTTTGACAGCTCGGCTCGTCTCGGCTCGCAAGTTCAAACATAAAAAATATATATATTTTTTGCAAATGGAATTCAATTCGAAGCTTGTTACCGAGTGCGTGTTGTTTTGCGACTCAAGGAGCGATTGATGAAGGGCCGCACGACGCCGACTCACGGTCACGCGACGGTGAGCGACTCGCGTTGCCGCCTTCTGGATTATAAGACGCACCCCTCACGACGCCGGAACAGACAAGAAACGTGTCGAACGCCGTTTTGTCTGGATTATAAGACGTTATTCCCCCCCCCCCCCCAGACTAATTTTAAAGAAATGTCGTAGGTGCTGTCGATGAGATCCGTCACAGGTGCGTCTTATAATCCGGTAGGCGTGCGCAGGCGCGCGTGCGCGTGACTAAATGTGTATCACTTAAATTCAACAACCTTGCAAAAGATTTGGAGTGCGTCTTACTATCCGTAGCGTCTTATAGAGTAATCATCATTTGAACTTGTATTCACTCTCGAACAGAGTGAGAGAGAGAGGATCAGAATATGTATACTGGAGGAATCCGATGAGCTGTAAAGCTCTTTTTCAACACATGTCCAGTAGGAGACTCAGAGGTGCGAGGAGGAACCAACAGACACGGGGCAAAAGCATCAGCAACAAGTATTATTGTCAAAGCTTCGTTGCCTTCTATACATGAAGACGCTCGCAGCTAATTAATGGGTCAAAATATTATAAACATGTGGGAGGAAACCGGCCTAAATCTTATTCTCGATAATGGCTCACACTCATGATTTCTAAACTATAAACTGTTTAACTATTAACTTTCTTTTTGTTTTTACCAGGTAAGGCCCACTGAGCTAATTTTTCCGAAGCGACCTGGCCACAATTAATAGCTCAACGAAGTGGCTTATTATGTAGAAATGTATAGCAGCCAAATACTCTTAACGCATGTTTATAAATGGAGGGCCCGGATACAAATCCACGCGACCACGGGGAGAGGTAACATGCAAACTCCAAATATACAGCAGGCGTCAGGGTCGGGATCGAACTCAGACCTCCTGCATGCCAGGCGAGGTGGTTAACATCTCGCCACCGTGTAGGCCCGATCCTGGCCCACCACCTCCAAACCGCACCGACCAGTGTGGTGAAGTATGGTCAAACAACTTCTCGCGACCGATGTGGCATAGGGAAGCCTTCATCAATGGATTAATAAAGGATGAAAATATGAGAATAGGTTTTCTCCTTTTTTTCTGGCAACAAAACAGCTGTGTTAAGATGTTATAACACCAAACTGAAACCTTTTACAAGGAATCATGTCTGCATTAACCACAATACTTGTGATCAGAATGCAAACAAAAAACATACTCTGATAATATATGCAATGTCTTTGAAACTGATTGAAAAGGCATCCTCTGGTCTAACACCGTTTTGAGACTAGGCTCAAAAGAAAGGTGGCTATGGTGTGGCCCAATCAGTTTCAAAGAAAATGCATATACTATCAGAGTATGGTTTTTGGTTTGCATTCTGACCTCAAGTATTGTGGTTAATGCAGACATGATTCCTTGTAAAAGGTTTCAGTTTGGTGTTTTGACATCTTAACACAACTGTTTTGTTGCCAGAAAAAAAGGGGAAAACCTATTCTAATATTTTGGTACTGGCAAAGGAGGTCCCATGATGAAAAGTATTGTTTGATCTTACAGTGCCTGATATTATTTTAACAAGATGAGTACTCATCCAGGTTCATTATAATTTATATTGCTTGAAAAGACCCCGATACACTTAGCTATTGTATATAATCTCAAAATGTTGTTTTTTGGCTCTTGTAAAATATGATCTACCATAGCCCTCAATTTTGCTTTTTAGACTATGTTCTACAATATACAAATAGCTATTATAATTTCTTGTAAAAATTACCAGGTGGCTGATACAGGAATTTAACTTTTTAATTCCATGCAAACTATTTGACAGTGAGCCCACGACATTCTCGCCTGTTTGTCCCACTTCGAAAGTGTTTATATATGCAACTTGTGATTTTTCACATTTTACAGGATTCACCACTACTTAAATATGGCATCGAACAATCAGCGGAGCGATCGCGCGTGTGGTCAAAGCGGGGAAGAAGATTGTCTGCAGAGCAAACCACGGCGCAGCGTGCAGACAGAACCGCTTTCAGCTGCGCAGACGCCCAGGTTTTTCCCAGAACTTGAACCTTCTCCGCAGCTCCTTCGTAGCCAAACCAGACTTTCCAGTGTCTCATCCCACGGCCGCGTTAACAAAGTTGAATTTTCAGGTTTTCAAAATAAAATTGTTTTAACCGAGTGTGCACTGCGTACAAAAAGTGAACCCGCTGGATCGTGTGATTTACGCATCCCTAAAGAGAATGCTGTCAGAATGTGTAAGTCACCTGTGGATGGCGCAGCCATTCCCAGAATAAATAAAGATGGGAATGTAGATAAGACACAAGAGAGAAAACGTGGGAAATGGTCATCAACACCATCTATCCCTGATATTCATGGTAAACGTGATGAAGAAATGGTGCCAAATGTGCTTGTGCCCTCGTGCCAAAAACCTGTTATAGCACATTTTGCTGGGACTGCTACTCAGATTGTCATAAATGCCAGAGCCAAGCCAACTGTAAATTCATCTTCTCAAGCATTTGCTAAATCTACTGTGCCACAACTACAGAGTTCCACAGGAAGGACAACACCTGGAGCTACCACAAAATCTGCTTTACAGAATAAAAAACATAATTTTGGATCCAAAAACAATGACGGTGAAAGTTGTGATAAAATACCTAAATCATGCTCTCTGGACAGAAATAAGCCAAATGATCAACAACAAAAGGAAGATGGTTCGCGTTGGCTTTTGCAAGAAGATGCACAATTAATACATAGGGACAAATGTGCTGTGACCAAAACATATGAAATAATGGCTTCCCAAAAGTCAGCTGCGGAGCTGTTGAAAGAGGCTAAAGAGATCGCTAAACCTGACGCTCCAAAAATGTTTGAGAAACATATTAAGGATGAAGATGGTGGAAAGGGAGATCTACCACCGCATCCTGCACCATTCGTGCTACACTCGCCAAACCTGTCTGACAAGGTCACGTTAAATAACAGGAATATGTGTAGGGAAGAATTCTGTATTGACACGCATCAGATGACTAAAGTTAATGAAGGAGTGATGCAAACCTCCATGCCCAAATTTGATCAGGTCAGTAGATATATTATTACTATGATATTAAACATTTCATCACCATGTCACACCAATGTGTACCCTGCATTAAAATTAAATGCAATATTGTCAAGTATTTTTTTTCTTCTGCTGCCTCTATCCTGGCACCTGCAGACATTGTGAAAGGTGCCTAGTAAGTGTGAATTATTATTATCTTAAAGAATTGTAATAATGAATTGTGTACTTCCATTGTCGCGTTATACATTCAACACCATATAGCTAGAACAAAAACATACTGTTTCATTAATCTTTTGATGATGCAAAGTTCATGTTTACTGAAACATTGCCGCACTTTGTCCCATGCGATACATTTTAAATAGGACTCCTTAAGCATACAGAAACGTGCAGAAAACAAGAAAAATCAAGCAGATGGTAGTTCATCAATTTGTGGCAGCGGAAACAAAGCGCCAGTTTTTGTCACATGCTTGCCAGACGCTGCGTCAGAAATGAAAGTTTGTGCAGTGACAAATAACATTTTCAAGGTCTCTTCGAAGTCCCAGTCAATCCTTGATTCCAGTCACAATAATCACGGAAAACGAACTGTTGATTTGGCTAATGAAAGAGAAGATGCCATGCTTCCCGATCAGGTATTTCATGGATTCCAGCAAACAGGTTAGGCGAGGTCAGGGTGAAATTTTGTGCAAACTGAATCCAAATGTATATCGATTAAGGGAAATAAGTAGATGACCTGACATTTTGTTGTTCAGATGACCGTTCGATGCGTTAGCAAGCAAGAATTGATGGCTGTGAAATGCAGAAAGGCGACTGTTTGCCTTTCCTTAATTAACTATCTCATTACCCAGTCTAAATTCCTCCACCCAAGTATTTGGAGGCGTGCACCCAGGACCTGACAGTCCTTGGTGACAGATTACTTTGTAAAATGTTTGAACAACTTGCAAAGAGTGGTTTCGACACAAAAAGGTAAAAAAAAGCTGAATGCATTCTTATTCCAGGGTAACAGATTGATTTGGAAGTGATCCTGCCATGACAATAAATCCATTGTTTTTGTTACAGCACTACCATACGTCATGATTAATGTTAGTAGTCTTTGGTCATATTCACATCAATACATTTATGTCATAGGGTATATGTCAAAAAGTGTTAAGATGTGTTTTACAACTTTATTTCTAACTTATGGTGGGCTCAGAAACTTGTATGTGGTGTACATTAACTTTAAGTGTCATTATGTTTGTCCAGATTTCTCCTGCCAACTTTTTTCAAGTACAAAGAATAAAGCAACAAATTGTTAAAAGGAAACTTGGTGGCTCAGAGAACAGTAAACTGTTTGCGGATAAGCCTCTGTACAACCTGCCTGCAAAGGCAGCTACTGATAAGTGGGATATTTTCTGTTTTCTTTTGTGGATATGTGTGTGTGTTATTATTATTAGTTGCACGTTGACAGCATGATGTGTAAATGAAAACAACTAAGAAATGTGTTCATGAAATCATACAAAAACACAATTGTTAGTTTATGTTATGAGTGCTCTATGTTAAAACATCCCAATCAAGTGACGTTCATGTATGGCCCATGCCAACAATAGCATAGCATAGTGGTGCCCTGGTGCCAGAAATGAAATGGTGCCCCCTGTCCAATTTCACCACTCTTTGTAACCCGGCACTTGTGCCCCTCCGGCCTGTGGGCCCCACCATCCCATGGGCCTCAATGCAGATGCACCGCCTGCGCACTCAATAGCTTTGCCACTCTTCATGTATCTCATATTTTTTATAATTGACACCTGTGCTGTCCTGTGAAGATGGGTGCCACGGTGCCGAGATGTGAACTACCTCGCCTGGTATACAGGAGGTCGTGGGTTCGATCCCAACCCTGATGCCTGTATATTTGGAGTTTGCGTGTTCTCCCCGTAGTCGCGTGGATTTTTTTCTGGGTCCTCCGGTTTTTCCCTCCACATTTAGAATCAACATCACACGTTTAGAATATTTGGCTGCTATAAATTTCTACATGATAAGCCACTTCGTTGAGCAATCACTTGTGGCCAGGTCGCTTCTGAAAAGTAGATATACAGCTCAGTGGGCCTTACCTGGTAAAAAAATATAGTTTTAACCATGGCCTGTTGATGGTGTTTTTTGTGAGGACATCCTCTCTTGGAGAGTTTTATTTTTTCCTGGGACCATTCATGTGTCTCTGTTGATAATCAACTCTTTACAAAGCCTTTGTGTTATTACGCCAACACAACTCTGGAACAAAGATCCTAATTACGTCCTGTTGTCATGATAATATAGAGTTAATTCTATTAGTATATGTGCTTTACTATACACCGTCTCTTTCTGTGAACTTAGCCACCATTGATAACCACATTTGACACCTGTGTAATAACTGTATAGTTTGTGTTTACGGGCTCATCGTTTGAATTTTTTTCATGATAATTTGACACATGGTACACATATATTCTTTAAGAACTATAATATGGTTTTGTGTTTTGACAGGGAGGTTGGTGCTTGCAGCATCCACTATTTCTGCACTGGAAACCTAAGCAATGTTGTTCCTCCAAGGTTGCAGCAGTTTTCCAGGTTTTGTCATGCACCCAGCAAGTACCCACCTTCCTGGAGTAAATTAGCTGAAGAAAGTTTCAATTCGGAAACGGCAAGGTACCTAAATTACTCATGACACAAATAACAAAGCTACTTTTAATCTCTATGTTGTTGATGGTGGTGCAGTGGTTATCATGCTGTGTTAACAACCCGGTACCCTGGGTTTGAACCCTGGCTGCAGATAACACCGGTGCCAAGTGGGACCTGAACCTTTTCTGAGGTTTATCCGAGGTTGACTCAGCCTTAAATGACTACCTGGTGCAGTGAGCAAACATCAACAAATAGGAGACAAAGGTGTGGGTGCTAGCCACAACAACCCTTTGTGGATAGTAGTGACGTTAATATATGCTTGCTAACAGCCCCTACCCCCCCCCCCCTCGTCAGGCTGTATAGCTATATGGGGGATCTTTTATGCGTGAATGTGTGTACTATGTATTTGTGTTTATATACTGTATGTGTTTGTGTCGGTATGTGTTTAATGTGTATATGTGCGTATGTGGATGTAAGTAAAAGTGTATGTGTCTGGATATAACTTTTGAGGATTGGTAGCGCAGAGGTTGGTGCACTGTGCTACAGTGCACCAACCCATTGACCTCAGTTTGTTTCCTGGCCATAGCTAATATCAGTGGCGAGTGCAATCTGAACTGGTCCTGAGTCACCCATAGGTCAATTCAACCTTAAATCAGTATCTGGTGGGGTGTGTAAACATCACACTATGGGGAGACAAAGACGGCCACGTGTGGTGCTGGCCATACAAAAGGTACCTAAATTACTCATGGCACAAATAGCAAAGCTACTTTTGATTTAAAGCTTTCGTGACTGCAGGGATTCATATTCTTGGTTCTTTCGGTAAAGTCACGTAGAAGGGAAACAATAAAATAATAAAATATACAACAATAAAATTCTCACGACGTTTCGACTGCAACAAAAGCAATCATCATCAGGTGCAAAAACCACAGCAAGAATTTTTTTTCAAATTTTCTTGCTGTGGTTTTTTCAAATTTTCTTGCTGTGGTTTTCACAGTTCCTATGATCAATGTTACATTGTTTTTATAGCTTTATTTTGGTGATTTCGAAAACGTTTTGGTTTAGCCATATTTGTTTGTTGTTGTACAGAGTTAGACTGATAACTTTAATCTAAATTTCTTATGGTTATTGTTTGACCTGCATCCCACTGGGATTTTTGCACACAGCGTTGATATACGGTGCTTTTTCTGGAAGACTTTGCTGTTTTTTCCTGGACTTTTTTCTGTTGCACGTAGTCACTTTAAGATGTTTCTTGTTCATGTTTTTGTTTGTTGCGGTTGCACCCGATTCAAGAGCCGAATGGCTCACAGGGCTATACCTGATAAATGAAACTGAAAACTGAACTGAAACCCCCATGTATGCTGTGCCAGTCTACGAGGAGCTCATTAAGATGAGTTGCCCCAACAGTGTATAAAAGTCTCTATTTGGGGTATTTGTTTTCTATAACATGTGTGTTTAACAATACACAACAATGAGCAATTTTTCACCACTGGTTACTAATATTTATGTAATTAACAGAATGTGTTCTGAATCAGAGTTTTGCAAATTTAACGTATTGACATAATAATAATGTAGTAGAACTTTCACACCGTAGCTAGCCAGATGTGCCCTAATCGGAGATGGTGCCTTGCAGATCGGCATCAAATAGGTACATTATTGTTGTTTTAAAATGTATTTCAGGACTCTCGAGCAAGGTGTCAGCCTTACAGAAGTATTAGCTTCTGAGAAAGACTGTCTACCTGTTATGCCAACATCATGTCCTTCAAGTCTAGAGGAATGGCGGAGAGTCGCAGAGATCTGCGTACAAAGTCCTCAGTTTTGTGTGGTTGGGAAGCAGGTAAGTTTATGGCATTCATGTCATTCCGAACTTTTATTTCCCATCGTGTGTGTAAATACATATACACCCGTTTACGCTCATTCATTTAATTCCCCGATGCTTTATAATGTGCACCTGTGCTATTCAAGAGCCTTGGTGTACTATGTAATAAAGACCCTTGGTTGCTTTTTAATGCCAGGTGCCACTGAAGATAGATGTTTCAAGGTTGTTCTGGAATCCTTCGCCTCCTAAGTTTGCTTGCCCTACCTCTTACTTCAAACAGCTTATTTGTCCCATATACCAGGTAAGATTTTCTTTGTTGGTTATGTGCAAATTTAAACTGCGGTCATATAAAAAAAATAGGTTTTATTCGATGTCTGTGGAGAAAAATTGCATCCTCTAACTGAAAAAAGCAGTTGATGCTTTAAAGTTCCCTTTTTCATGTCCTTAAAAAAATTACTAGAATGCCATCTTATGTACTCTGTAGGTGTGTTTGAGCTGGCTGGGGTGGCCAAGAGGTCAAGAGTGCTGAGCTAACAGGGCTGAGAGCCGGGGTTCAAATTCAGACAGCTAGCGCCTGTAATGCAATCGGTTCTTAAGTGTAGTGCGTTCATGGGCTTAGACTGGCCGGTCACCAATGACTGCACTAATAAAAACTATAATTTTTACATTTACTCCATTTCAGCATTGAGAATTTAAAATATTGTTTTGAATATCATGCCACAGATGTCAATCTCTGTCCGGATCATTTGTAAATGTCCTGCCCCCTACTGTGACATTGGTCAATATATGGAATCTCAGAAGTAGCTCTGTAGTGTCCTATTTAATGAGCTGTTTCCTAACACAAATGGCTATGTCGTTGCATGACATGACACCGATGGCAAAATTACAACAGTACTCTTTTTAAATAATACGTTTTCTATTTGTGATCCTGCCAGTAACCATGTCTCCCTTCTGCTAGGCTCGCAGTTGCAATATAAGAATTATACCATTATACATTTACTAAAATAACTACATTATATCGAATGTATAAGAACATTTTGAGAATAAGGAATGAAAAAGTAGAACTTGATTTCTAGCCTAATTTTTAAGTTCCATTTTCATATGATCTTTTAATCAATGCATTGGTTTCAGATGTATTTTTAATACAGTACAGTATAATGTAATAAGTGTGAGTGCATACGGTACCTTTAATATATTCTCTCTTATGTGTGCCGTGCTGTGTATAAATATGTATTGAATATGTGTGAATAACACAACATAATTTACAGCTATTATCAATCCACTGCTTGATGAGGACCTCCCCTTGCTGTATCAGTCATGGGGGTTGGTGGTCCATGCTTCACCACACTAACTAGTCAGTGTGGCTTTGTGAAGGTACCCAGGATCAGTTAAACTATCACTCACCGCTGATAATAGCCATAGCTGGGAATCAAACGTAGGTCACCGGGTTCATAGTTCAGTGCGTGAGTCACTGTCTCACCCACCGCTCCACCATGTGTGTATTTAAAAATAATAAATGACTTGGGAAGGAGGTGGGGGATGATTTCAAACTGTCAGGCTTTCTTTAGGTATTATAATTAAGTATAGAAAAACGATGAATTTCACCAATTGACTGATAATGTCATTTCATCTTACGGGGCATTATACAACTGTGAAACAACGTTTCTGTTACGAGCAGACTGATCTGTTGAAAACAATGGCCGATACAGAGGCACTTCCTGCTGAAATGGATAATGAAGGCGATGATGATGATGATGAAGAAGAAGAGATGAGAGAATGTCTTGAAGAGAGAGATCACACCGTGAGTCGCAGAATTCTATTAATAACCATCTTTATTTTTTATGACTGTGTATTGAATACATATTTAAATGTAATCTTGGTAAAACATCCAACATAGGACATACATGAAAAAAAAGCTGCAGCTTTACACACTTTATTTTTCACACATTTCAAAACACAACGATGCACTTTTACTCAAACCATACGCTGCACAAAAGTGTAAATGTGTCACAATTATATATATTGCACGTCACTTGCAGTAAATACTCTGTTAAAAAGATCATTCGCTCTTTGCTGGTTAATAATTGGCGACCTGGAATTGAATAGGGTCGTGTGTTATCTCGGACTTATGGATCAGAGCCAGCCTTGGGCAGACCCGGGCCATTGCGGTCACTCTGTGACCTCGTGGTGACCTGCGCAAGCCCTGGCGGGGCACGGAGCCAGGTACATGCCCCCCCCCCCACACTGAACACAGGCCATTGTTCTGCAAGGTTTAGCCCTCTTGACGAGCTTTCAACACCGGCTTGGCCACACACTTTATTTACCACCGCAGGCCAGCTCTTGTGTGTACCCACATGTGTTTGCACTTGGGGTGTAGCCGTACTACAGATGAAAAGGTGTAGTGTAAAAAAAAATAACTGCGTATATATGTTCTCACCTTGGGATTGTTTTTCTTTCAAGTGGAACATTTTTAAACAAATACTGTACAGCCGAATGTAATAATACGTGTGGCGAAGTCTTCAAAATGGTGACCTGTATGAAAAATAATATTGTTACAAGTCGAGATGTTCTTTGTATTCTGCCTATTTTTACAAATGCTGAGGTTTTACATTAGGCTATTTAAATTATTGACACTGATATTTTTTACATTCTCAGCAATTTGTGAATCTTCATAAATTATTACTGAGACAAAGTGCGTGCATGTGTAGGTAATGTCCAACTCTGTCTGTTTAAAGATAAAGTATGTGCTTTTGTTATTGAGAGCAAAACAAATTCAGCACGATTTCTAAACAACTTCTAGTGTGTGTGTGTCTCATTTACTGGAGATGTGCATGTTAATATCTATCTCTGACAAACTGCCCCAAAATTGGTTATCTATAGCAGGTGCATTAATATGTTTTGCATGTTTGTATAAATATTTACTGTGTTTAGCATAACTGCATGTTGCTGTTAATATAGCAACTTTTTACAGGGTGACGTGTCATATGTGCATCGTTATGAACGTCCGCTTGCATTAAAATAGCTCGCATTTTATTTCTAAATTGAGGAATGTAGCCAGTGGAGTCCCATTATGGAATCCCGAGTTCATTTTCATGAGTGGTTTAGTTTCCTTAGTTCATACTGTTTTGAAATAAAACTGTCAATGCAATTTTTAACATCACGTAAAAAAACAAAGACAAAATGTAGTGCAATTGGCTGCCTCTAATTTGATACGTTCCTGTCAAACAGTGCATTAATATCATTTGTTTTTTTGTTGCTTTATTACAGCAAGAAGTTTGGGAAACATGTTCAAGTGAAAAATGCGATGATCCAAGACTTTTAAATTGGCATGTGCATTCTGTAGTCGAGAAGGTAAACCACATGTTAAAACCAAGGAAATGCATATCTGAGCCATCTTTAAATCACGAAGATTCTGACTTTAATTTGAAAGCACCTTCTGACTTCAGGACTTGCATGGATGAACTGGAAGCTCACAAAGCGATGATAAAATTTGCTGCCAAAGAACTTAAAGATGCTTCTGCAAAAAGTTGTGATCAAACAGAAGTGTGTGTTAAGCCAAGGCAAAAAATTGCCAAACTAACTCCAGCTGAAAAGGCCAGAGAAGCAGGTCTAAAATATGTCCATTACCCAAAGAAAAAAAAGAAAAAAAGACATTCACTCCACCCAGACAAGCTCGAAGCTGTCTTGGATCAGCTCCAGTTACCCCCAAGGCTCTTGACACGGTATTATGTGTGCCTTTACATAAACACTTCTATGGCGTTGCACGGAATACCGTACACACTTCATATTAGATATTATCCTTCCGACTGAAGTTTTCGAGATGTATTTTTTTTTCGTGTGCGGTTCCTAAAGTGTGTCATTTACAACAAACAATTCCATCTGCTTTGTTATTGCAGGTGTTGTTCAGATCCTCATCTGCAGAGCCCACGTGGGAAGCCACCCTCGTGGGTTTTACACAGCGTTCATCGTGACCGCCGCAGACCAAGCCTTCCACGTTGTTTGGATTTTGGGAGCTTTGCAGACAATCAGGGAAGATTCCCAGAAGATGAAAGTCCTCGGGAGTGGGTCCGAGACATTTGGAACCGCTGGTTTGATGAAGTGTTTCCTCCAACACCAAAGCCCAGCAACAACTTATTGCATGCATCCACAGGGACCAATTCGGAGGCGTTAGGTGTATCAGCAGTAGATAAGACAGATGTTGAAATTCGTGATGCTAGTGCTGCGCCTGCTGTTGTGAACATGGGTTTTGCAGAGCTGAAGCCAGGGAAGGAGGATCTTGAAGCAGAAGGTGAACGCCTCTCTGGTCTCATTGAGGCTCAAGGACAGCCCTCGTCATTCCATTTTTGTCGCAGGGGAGCTGTCTACAGAAAGCTTGGGCGGCTTGATTTGGCAAAGTCAGATTTAGATACAGTAAGTTGTATGCAGTTTTATCCATTGCATTTTTTCTCTTTTCACCGACATGTATGCATTGTAATTAAATTCTGAAACGGCTTCGCGGTTCAGCCTGCCGTGAAATCATTTATTTCCTCCGTTTCCTACTCCATTAAGAACCATCGCCTGTGTGCGTGTAAAATTTGACCGTATAATTGGTTTTCAACATGGGAAAAGTATGACTTTACATAATTTCCATAACACACACAGTAATAATAGGACGATACATGTATTCCTCATCAAGAAATATTTTGCTCACTGTCATTAAAAATGTTGACTTCAGGCCATCAACAAGGAAGTGATGCTGCTGGACGCGTACTGGCATCGTCACTTTATTCACCTGCTGCAAGACAATCCACGTGCTGCACTAGATGACCTGAACTTCATCCTCAAACATAACCAGACACGTGCAGGTATTACCCTACGACTCACTAATCACATATCATACCTACATACAGTGAGGGAAAAAAGTATTTGATTCCCTGCTGATCTTGTACGTTTGCCCACTGACAAAGAAATGATCAGTCTATAATTTTAATGGTAGGTTTATTTGAACAGGGAGAGACAGAATAACAACAACAAAATCCAGAAAAACGCATGTCAAAAATGTTATAAATTTATTTGCATTTTAATGAGGGAAATAAGTATTTGACCCCCTCTCAATCAGAAAGATGTCTGGCTCCCAGGTGTCTTTTATACAGGTAACGAGCTGAGATTAGGAGCACACTCTTAAAGGGAGTGTTCCTAATCTCAGCTTGTTACCTGTATAAAAGACACCTGTCCACAGAAGCAATCAATCAATCATATTCCAAACTCTCCACCATGGCCAAGACCAAAGAGCTCTCCAAGGATGTCAGGGACAAGATTGTAGACCTACACAAGGCTGGAATGGGCTACAAGACCATTGCCAAGCAGCTTGTTTAGAAGGTGACAACAGTTGGTGCGATTATTCGCAAATGGAACAAACACAAAAGAACTGTCAATCTCCCTCGGCCTGTGGCTCCATTCAAGATCTCACCTCGTGGAGTTGTAATGAGCATGTCAATGATCTCAAGGCAGCTGGGACCATAGTCACCAAGAAAACAATTGGTAACACACTACGCCGTGAAGGACTGAAATCCTGCAGCGCCCGCAAGGTCGCCCTGCTCAAGAAAGCACATATACATGCCCGTCTGAAGTTTGCCAATGAACATCTGAATGATTCAGAGGACAACTGGGTGAAAGTGTTGTGGTCAGGTGAGACCAAAATGGAGCTCTTTGGCATCAACTCAACTCGCCGTGTTTGGAGGAGGAGGAATGCTGCCTATGACCCCAGGAACACCATCCCCACCGTCAAACATGTAGGTGGAAACATTATGCTTTGGGGGTGTTTTTCTGCTAAGGGGACAGGACAACTTCACCGCATCAAAGGGTCGATGGACGGGGCCATGTACCGTCAAGTCTTGGGTGAGAATCTCTTTCCCTCAGCCAGGGCATTGAAAATGGGTCGTGGATGGGTATTCCAGCATGACAATGACCCAAAGCACACGGCCAAAGCAACATAGGAGTGGCTCAAGAAGAAGCACATTAAGGTCCTGGAGTGGCCTAGCCAGTCCCCATACCTAAATCCCATAGAAAATCTGTGGAGGGAGCTGAAGGTTCGAGTTGCCAAACGTCAGCCTCGAAGCCTTAATGACTTGGAGAAGATCTGCAAAGAGGAGTGGGACAAAATCGCTCATGAGATGTGTGCAAACCTGGTGGCCAACTGCAAGAAACGTCTGACCTCTGTGATTGCCAACAAGGGTTTTGCCACCAAGTACTAAGTCATGTTTTGCAGAGGGGTCAAATACTTATTTCCCTCATTAAAATGCAAATCAATTCATAACATTTTTGACATGCGTTTTTCTGTCTTTTTTTGTTGTTATTCTGTCTTTCACTGTTCAAATAAACCTACCATTAAAATTATAGACTGATCATTTCTTTGTCAGTGGGCAAACGTACAAAATCAGCAGGGGATCAAATACTTTTTTCCCTCACTGTACACACGTATTTCACAAGACAACATGATACAGTAAAGGTACAACGTCACGTATGCAACTCACATATCCGCCTTGACCGATTCACCGGCCAAACTCAGTGCATGATGTTACTGTCATTTTCTATACACGTTCACAACTCGCTTCTAATCTATAGTAGTACATTTTCCCATGTTTAACAAGTAGTTTGTGCTATATTTTTGGTCCAGGAACCTATATATGCCTACGGTCATTTTCTACATATATTCATATATCCATCTATTACTCAGTTCGCAGTGAGTCAGATGATATGCGACATTGTACTCGACTCATTTCAGTAATAAAAGCTAAGTGTTGCGCGACCAATCCGTTGCAATGTCTGTAAAGCACGTCACATTTCAGAGCTCTGCAAATGTGAAGGCAATTAACTGCTGGTTCTGTCCTGTATTTCACAAAGATGCATATAGATCCCGGGCAGAAATATACAGCAGTCTTGGAGACATTGACATGGCTCTGTGCAATTACAGCCAGGCTATAAAGAACAACTCTGAGGATTATGAGAGTTACTTTCGACGTGCGGAAGCCAATCAGCGGAGGGGGGATATGCAACTGGCTATGCAGGATTATGCTCAGGTGCTGTATGTTTTAAATATAAATCTTTGGCATATGAACATTGCACACGTATGTTCTAGGTCATTATTCATAACGACACCCTCATTAAGATTGGTTAAAAAGCTAAATATGTTTATACGTAAGGATTGAGCAACTGATATTTAGAGATTATTACGTATTGTACGATGTTTAAAGGTACACGCACATTTATTCGTGGTTGTTTTTATAATTAATTTTATGTTTCACTGCAATGTAATAAGGCACGATTAAAATCTTTCTATTTCATATGCATATTGTACAAGTGATATTTAGATTATTTTCCCATGCTTATGTCTATATTCAAATAGCCCTGCTGTGTGCTTCCTATTGTACAAATGCACTGACAACGGGAATTAAATGTTTAACTTACATTATTGCAAAGTAATTTAAATTCAGGTACTGCATTGCCTCCAAATGTACTGCAGTATTTTATTTAAATTGGAGAATACATCTTAACTCTGAAAAATGTCACCTCCAGGCTGCCCGTATCAACGCAAGCCAGGTGGAAGCGTTGATAAGGTGTGGAAGATTTCACTTGAAGCAAAGAGATTGGGCTGCTGCCATCCAGGACTTTACAACTTTGATTGATCGAGAGCCTAACAATGCACTGCATCGGTAACTAGTGCGCCTATAATGATTCATTTCGATAGTCCATTCGTTTTTGTCATTTTTACATTGCATAGGTATTAAGTTCTTAATTGTTTCTCGTTATTGTGCAGTATTGTTTGCCTTATAAGCCGTAATGTAACATTAGCATGTAATTTGCATATGGTTTTCATTCATTGTAATTGATGTATTCGAATACAAATTATACATTGTCTGTATCGCGAGCATACAGAATTGATTTAAATCAATGAATTGATGCATCCTTACATTCCCAGGTAATTCTCTACAGCAACCATTATATAATTAAAACATACTTTCTCAAAGCCATTTTTATGTTGGCCAATCATATATTGCATATTTGTGCTACAATTTGTACAAATAAAGCACATATTTGGAGAGAGGTGGCAAATTGGTTATAACCTGTACTGAACCTACCTTCCTGAGCTCAATTTCCAGCCACAGCTCAAACCAATCGGCACTGATCAGTGTGATCACATAGAGTTAACAAACCCCATACCCTACACGACATGGGGAGGCCTTCAACCAGCAATGGCTTAACGAAGGGCTTTAAATTCTATTTTATTATTTCCAGTACACATCGAGGAATAGCGTATGCCAGTGTGAATTGCTACAAGGAGGCAATCAAAGACTTTACGTTGAGCATCCGCTTGGACCCGAAGAACTGGATCGGCTTCTACCATCGAGGGTGCCTCCTGCGTGAAGCTCTCCCGACAAAGGCTCTGCAGGACCTCAGCATCTCAGGTGTGATGTCATTGAAAGCTATTGACCAGCAAGAGACCTCACACCGGCAAGATCACACATGCAGGAAATCATAACACTAAAACTAAACAAACTGAACTTTTTTTTATTATACTTGGTAAGGCCGACTGAGCTATATGGCTGTTTTTCAGAAGCGACCTAGCCACAGATGATAGCTCAACAAAGTGGCTTTTGTGAAAAGTTATAGTAGCCAAATACTTTAAACGCACGTTTCTACATGTGGAGGAAAAAAGCAGAGGACCCGGAGAAAAATCCACATGACCACGGGGAGACACATGCGAACCCATGACCTCTTGTATACCAGGCGAGGTAGTTAACATCTCGCCACTGTGGCACCCCTAACACATCATCCAAATAGTCTGTCCTACCTTCAAGATCCTCCATGGACGACTCGCTCCTACATACTGTGTCCCCTTTTCATCTCACCCTCTTCCACGCAACTCTGCTCCAGCAACCAAGCTCCAGTCAACCTTTGCTCAGTGGGAGGTCGCTCAGTCTCCCCTGCTGCCCCCATCATCTCGAACTCCCTTCCCCCAGCCATTTGTGCTCTCGACTCCCTGCCCTTGTGCTGGACTAAAGATATTTGTTCTCTGCCTATGAATGACTGCCTTGTCCAATTTGTAAATTGTATTGTACTTTGCTTTGTTTTTAGTGCAGATGTAAGTTCAGATAGGATATGTTAATCATTTAACCTTCCTTCATTTATCTACAAGGTTATTCGATTCAGTTTGAATATGTACAGTGTGTGCACTTGCATTTGGATTAATCATAATTTTATTTACATGTTTGCAACGTGCATTTACAACTTGTGTTTGTGCATAGGGTGCCTTGGTGGCGAGATCTTAACTCCCTCGCCTGGTATGCAGGAAGTCGTGGGTTTCATCGCGACCCTGACGCTTGTACGTTTAGAGTATTCATGTTCTCCCCGTTGTCGCATGGATTTTTCTTCCAGCCCTCCTGTTTTCCCTCCACATTTAGAATCAACATGCGTTTAGAGTTTTTGGCTACTATACACTTCCACACAATGGTAAGTCACTTCGTTGAGCTATCATGTGTGACCAGGTCGCTTCTGAAAAAGAGGTCAGTGGGCCTTACCTGGTCAAAATAAAATATAGTTTAGTTTATATGAACTTAGATCGCAATCAAGTAACATTGCTTTCTTACCAGCTTTGAATACTTTACTTTTCTTTGTGGTCCTTGTTTCTGCAGTCCTCTTGAACAACCGGGCAGACAATATGCTGGCTTTCCTGCACCGTGGGATGCTGTACGCCCAGATGGGAAGGTGGACAGAAGCAATCTGTGACTTTGAGATTGTACAGCAGATGGACAGGTTGGTGTGTTTCATCAATTCACCGTTAGCCTTTCAGCATTGCTTAGTATTCCATTTCCATGTTCCTGGTACCATTTGTGAGAAATAATACATTGAAAGACAAGTGTGTGGCTTATGCAATAATGAATCCTAGTCAATAGGTCTAATGGGTCATGTGATCGCATGCCCCTGTACCTTAGCAGCAGATAGCAGTTTTGTCAACATACCACGAAGTGCATCTTAAGTAGTACTGGGTATTTTTTTAGCACGTAGCATTGCATCCATTTATTGATTCAAATCGATTCGTATTCTCACGATGCCTTCACAGAGCTAGAATTGTGCGTGTAAGAATCGGTTATTTTTTATTATTACGTGTAATTTGTTCGCATAAACCCTGCAGCTACGTGAGGCTATACATGCACCAGATTATATTTATTTTACTATTCCTAAATTTGATCTCGACCACGAATTGTGGCACTTAATTGAATCACCAAAAGGGAATAATTGTAAGATGCCTCTGCGTGGCATCTGCAGCTGTGTGCAAGAGTTTAAATAATGCAACGGACTGGTTTCAAAGTATGCTATCATCAAGACTCCGATAACATAATCCACTCATAATAAGATATGTGTCTATAAGCTGACCATATTTACTTTGGGCATTTAAAAAAAAAAGGGAATATTGAAATGAATGGAATGACCTTTGTATTAGCATCCCACACGTAAGTGATTTTCACGTACACATTTCCATTCTGTTTAATGTGTAAAGATCATCTTGAACTACATTATATTATTAAGTAAATATATGCATACATTCTTCAGTTCTAAAACGAATAATAGCTGTGGAGTCTAGATCGTGCAACGCTAATTTTTTTTGTACTGATTTAAACATTTACCTTTATGATATATTTGCTTCTAATTTTGTTTTGTTCCACGGTAATATTGTCACCTAACGGCTGCTCCTTGTGGGTGATGAATGGAAGGACTGTGGCCCTAGCCCACATGAACCTAGGACTGATCCTGCTGACGGTGAAGAAGCAATACCATGCGGCCGTGAAGTGTTTTACTGCGGCCTTGAAGACCTTGCCTACCTGCATCCGCGCCTACGTGCATCGGGCTGAGGCATACCATAAGGTTGGTCGAAGCTGCTGCCACACGCTTTTTTTGGTGTTCATGGGGAGAGGCAGTGGGTTTCGCGTTGCTGGGCACACGGGCCTTTGCCACGCTCTTCTACTCTCTGTGTGTTAATTCCACCAGGTCAATCACGGTCTTTGAAACGAGGTGATAACCATGGAAATGCAATATCTCTTTCCAATTTGAATCTGAATCCAAGATCAGTTGTGAGTGATCTCCCCCAAATTAGAGAGTGTTGAAACATAGAACAAAGTAAAACAATCAAAGCAGAACTTAATTTAATGTATAATCTTCCGATAAATAAGTTACTCTATTTGTAACATGTTGTATGAAGATGTTGTGTAAGTGAATAATGTTTTAAATTCCCCAACAAATGTCACCAATGATGTGTATATGTATCGCGCTGATGCAAATTTAAAGTTTACTGCATGTGGTTACCACGTTGCATTGATTGGCAACTGGGTGGAATGCTGTTGCTCTGTATAATGAACTAGGACTGAATGCATTGGTTGGTAGCTAAGGATGATCTGCAAATACCACTATCTATAGTAACAAAAGGGACCAGAATCAATGAGAAGACACCCAAAACAAACGCAAGCAAGACATCAAAGATCACCACACTGAAGGCTTCACAATGGGTCAAAGAACAGTTGCTAAGAATTCTGAGGCCACCCACCAGTTTCGTTCATTATTCAACTCAAAACATATATATAAATATTATAAAGATTTTCACACTTACTGTAAGGTAAAAAATATATACATATATTATTTTGTGTTTGCTGTTGTTGAATATCCTGGGATATGGTTTGTTATAATTATTATGCATGATGCCACCATTATATTGCATGATGCCACCATTATAAATTAAATGGTCACCTTTTTATCTTAATATGCATTAATTTTATTTTGCTGTCAGGAATTTTGGAAAGCAATGGTGAATTTGGGCTGAAATAACCAAGTATTTTTATATACAAATAAAACACTGCAATTTCAGTGATTGTATTACTCTGAAATGCCGATCAATGCAACATTTTTTTAAATCTCTTTCCGTTTCAATTTTTTTACAAAGTAATGTTCAATTGTCAAACGTGTTTACATTTTCTAACAGGTTGGCGACCTCCACAGCGCCCTCTGTGATGTGACCAAGGCGATCCACCTGGAGCCAACCTCGTTCCACCTCTACCTGATGAGGTGAGACGCTCCACGGGGCAAATCCTCTGCCAGGCCGGAACATTGCTGCCATTTTTAGCTTTTGCGGGAGGTCAGCTTTTTGCCAAAGAGTTTCAGGATTTCATTTGCTTTGTGCATTTGCTGGCAGCTTACAATTGGATTAAGTTTCTCCCAGGCCAGACCCTGATTTGTCTTCTCAGCGTTCCGACAGAAAAATGTCCAAAGGCCAGGATAATGATCTGATCGGAGCTGTTGATGAGCGGCGCTTGGTGGCAAAGTGCACGGCCTGGGAGTGAGCTTGTGTCAAATGTTTTTGGTTGCTAAGTTACGGGGATGTGTTAACTTCCAATATTGACAGTTTTTTCATGTTAAAATTGTATTTTTAAAACTATTACTACTCACGGCAATATTTCATGCTATATACATGTTCACAGTAAATGCATAGAGTTTATTGTTTAAATATTAAATCCGTACTTGTATACAATAGCAATAGCTCAATTGTCCATTTCTTCAACAGTGCATCGATGGTGATTGATTTTTTGTGCAATGGGAAAAATTTGTTGATAAGCAAATGTATATCATACATTTGATCATATTAGCCTTTTCTTACGTGAAGTCACTCTAAATTGTAATTGTTATAATAATTTACAGCCCTTCATCAAACCATTGCCAGATGAAAGGTCTCCCCACGTTGTCAGGCATGGTGTTTTTATCTTTAACATGTAGGCTTTCGCGACCAATATCATCCATAATAGAGGTTTTTGGGTTAGATCACGTAAATATATTAATGTGTCGTTAAAACCCGCCACCACCCGACACAGCCAAAACAGCCAACTAGTTTACGTGACAACCCTTACGAGTTGGCTGTGTCGGGTGGTGGCGAGTTTTAACGACACATTTATATATTTACGCGATCTAACCCAAAAAACACTATTATGGGTGTTTTTATCTTGTTTATCAGAAGTATTTTATTGAAGTCAGATGGGGTTGAATATGGGAATACGAGAGGGCTAAAGGGAAAATGGAGTAACACCACCAAGCGAGTTGTGTACATATGTATGTTGAATTTCTTTCGTACCGTGCGTAGCCAACGGAGGAGATAGGGTCCCACGCAGGGGGTGAACGTTATGAGTGGGAGAGACGCAGTGGAGGGTGATGCTTTGAGGAAAGTGTTGTTGGGGAGGCAAATGAGGGTGCGAGGGAGACATATGGGCCTTTTCACCACACTTGACCACGTTGGACAGTAGTGCGGGTTGGTGATGGGGACGGCGAGATCCCGTTTAGATATTGCTCTCGCCACTGACGTTAGCCGCAGCTGGAAACTGGACTCGTGTTGCCAGGCTTATAACGAAAGTGCGTGAACCCGCTGCTTCACTGCTCAATTGTAGCATGCAACATTGAATTGACAGTGCGTTTTATAACAATGTGGGTGTAGTGGTGGCGCAATGGTGAGCACGCTGTGTCATGAACCCGGCAACTTGGGCTTGATTACCAGCCACGGCAAACATCATTAGTTCGTGACAACTGAACCAGTCATGGGCCCCTGCTCTCTTCACTGACCTGCACTGACCAGCGTGGTGATGTATGGATGATTAAACAACTTCTGTGACTTACTAGGCACGACAAAACGTTAATCCAGCAGTGGATTGGAAAAATGGCTGTACATGTATAACAATGGGATTTGTGTCCTTCATACAGCTGCCATGCGAAGGCCACGTAATTGTGATGTTGTAATTTTGGAATCAAAGACTAATGTGGAATCAAAGGCAATCATGTTTCATGGATGATAAGACCTATATCGGCCTTTGCTTCATTTGTCATTTTTGGGATAGAAGAGTCGAGGTCTGCCACACTTGTCATGGAGACGCCCACCCCAGCATGGGATTGATGCATCCCTACCCCCTTTCTACCCTACCACTCCTATCCCCCCCCCCATCTCTCTCTCTTCCCCTACCATTGCAACAAAGGGCCCCCTGCCTGGCGTGCACAATGAAGCTTTAATCTCTGTTTACCTTTCCCTCCCTCTCCTCGTGCGGGTCCCTCTCTCACACGGATTCCATTTCTTGCTGCTGTCCATCAGCTCTGACGATGCACAATGGCCAACATTGGCTACCCCCCTCCACCCATCGCAAGACAATCGGCAGATTAACACCTTGCGCGTCTCCCCCGGGGAACGGGCCCTGAGCCTGAGCACAATAAAAGGGGTCTCCGAGAGCTCTGTTTAATGCTCGCATCTCCCTTCCTTAACTCCTGCTGCCACCCAGGGAAGAGCAAACAACATTAGCATTTAAGGCACAGAAAAAAAAGCAGTAATTGGACACTATGGTATTAGTATTGGATTATCACTCGCTACCTTTTAAAGCCATTCTTTTGCAACCGTGTCTTTTTTTTCTTGAGCCCATAAAATATTAACATCATCTATGCAACAACGTTGATGATGTAGAGTATTCGTGTGTTTATAATGTCATTAACTCATCAGCATTCTAAATATTTTGGCTTCAGGACTAATGGAATGTATGTGTACATTTATGCGGGGATGTCTAGAATTACACCTATTGCTCTACATTTTGTTCGATGTATAGCATGATTATTTTGAAATTGCACGAATAAAAAACGGTCACTTAAACTCGTATTAATCATCATAAGTGTTCTGCTGGAAAATGTATTCCATAGAAGCATGGCAGAGCAACTTTTGTATACAACTGTTGTATGCAATGTGGTAGGTATCTGAGATTGTTCTCCGTACTTATGCATATTATAAGTTTCACAAAATATTAAAGTAAACAATGGCTTTCATTTTTGTTAATGTGATTGATTCATATAGTCACTATCTTCAAAATAAATATGGTATGGTAATGTGCAGTATTCAAAACAGAGAGGGCTGTATTCATTTTGACAGAAATTCAGTTTTTCCAGCACTGTATTTCATCATAAATAGCCAAACGTTTTCCAGCATAAATCACTAACATATTAATCAGAGGACAATGTACAGCTGTTTTTTTTAAATAACATTTCCAAAGAAAATATGAAATTAAATGTAGATATGAGCAAACATTTAACTAATTACTGTCATAGTATATAATAAATGTATTATATACACAAACAGCATATAATTTAAGGACCTTTTTTTGTCAGTTGAGAATATATATTTTTAATTATACGGTCAAGCGATTGGGTCCATGTGTGCCTGACTTTGAGAAAAGTATGTCATTTAAATTTCCGTTTAAAGCTATCGTGACTGCAGGGATTCATATTCTTGGTTCTTTCGGTAAAGTCACGTAGAATAAATTTTATTGTTTTTATTATTTCCATTCTACGTGACTTTACCGAAAGAACCAAGAATATGTCATTTAACAAATATTTAACTTTTGTAAACAAAAATTATCCTATCATTAGAGACGTTACACTCCTAAAATCCATTCATTACGTGATTAGGACGTGGCAGAAAGGGCCATCCAATGGCAATTCAACGCAATGTGCCTGCATTTCGTATTTTCTTCTGCAGAGGGCAGTATCTATATGAAATGAACAACAAGACACTGGCTGTCTTTTGCCTGCGCCACGTTTTAAAAATGAGTCAAGGTGAGGTTACACGCACACACACTTCTAACATACATGTAAACAAATGCATGAGTAAATATGGAACTTTAAAAAGCAGATTTATTGATGCAATTTGCGTTGGCTCTGACCCATATCGACCTTGAATATACAAATCACTACACTTTTATATGAACGGTGAATTTACATTTTATCGGTATATTACATTAAATTATTAATATATCTATGAATAGTTTCACTGGTATATAGTAAGTCTATACTAAGGATAAAGGAGCTAAAGATATATTTTTTATGGCTATCCTTGTTATGTGACCATTGTATATTCACATACGTTATTTTATGACACATTTGTTGCATACATTCAATGTGATATGTCATATTCAGCATAAAGTGTAACCTTTATCGTGAATCCTAGATATATATTTCATGTTGACAAACAAAAGCTCAACATAATATCTGGTATAATAGAAAAAAATGTCATAAATTCCATATTGAATACAAAAATACGCCATAATAATGCATGCGACTTGTACATGTTTCAAATGTAAACATTGCCATAAAAGTAAAAGCTTGGTGAGTATTGGTTTAGAGTCAGAGATGGAATATAGGACATAGAATAGGTGATAAAGTGCAGGGTTTAAAACAAACATAATGAAAGACATTCAGAATAATTGGAACAAAGTCAAGGCTGCAGTTTTCTGATTTTGCAATGTTCTAATTTACATACGAAACGTATGTAAATTGATTTGTTATTCATCTTAGAAATCCCAGAAAGTTAAATTATTGCAAGATTTTTCTATCAGTCTTTCCATTCACCCATTGTCTTTGCATGAACAATTGTGCTCATTTACACATTTTTGTCAAAAGCATTGAATTTTTGTTAAGGCATTTTAGTATGCGAAGTAGACTTGCAATGCAAATTTGGTGTATATTGGGAAATGAATGTGATGTGATAAACTGTCAATCACCATAACATAGATAGTGTTAAATGCAATTCAAATATAATTTGAACATATTTAGATGCAATGTGTTTCAGTTGTGTCAGATGACATCACGATTGGTTGCAGCAATATATTTCAGGAATCAATAATTTTGTGCCTTATTTTCACAGACTCGTTTAAAATGTTTACAACTTTTTAGTTTGCGTCAACATTCTAAATGTCACATTGCCATATTATTGGCATATAATGTCAGAATCAGAAAATGTATTTATACTGGAGGAATCCGATGAGCTTTCAAGCTCTTTTTTCACAGATGTCAAGATAATGTACCGTACACCAAAAGAGCATTGCTTATTGCACACGCGATTCGATCTATCGTGGCTTTTAACAAATCGATATCAATCTATGAATCAATGCCATTTCTTAATTTGTTTATTCATATTTGATTTTGCTTGGTTGTTGGGTTTTAAATTGCTTGGTATGTACGTACGTGTGTTGGGCTTCTTTCGCGCCGTGTGTAGCCAATCGTGTATATGGGATTTGATTCTTATATTTAATTAATGTACAGCGTTGTGGGATGACGTTGGCATGAATGACGCTATTTAAAATGTAAGTATTATTATGCGCAAAGAGTATGCAGTCTTTCTTAGATTGACATTAAATATAAATTTGCACAAAATAAACTATAGAGGGCAGTATTAAGCTTTATGTAGAATTAAAACTTCAAGTTCGAGAGTGCTTATCTGAGTCGTGCGAATTAATGCTGGATGTTTGTACGCAACTTATGCTAATGTATTGGCACCATCTGTCAGAGTTGGGCTTGTGCTCAATGCAGCAGGCGATCATCCAGTCCTTTCTAAAGGACCATCAGCAGGCCATCGCGTGTCTGGCTGGCATGTGCAGCATGCAGCCGCAGGTCACCACGCTTGCTTTGCTCGGCAGCATTCAGATGAAGGCCGAGCAGTTCCAGGTAATAACATGCCATTTCAGAGAGGGAGAGACATATTTTGCATAAATACACAGGACGCAGTATTTCAGTTGATGTCTTTCATCATTTAATTTTCTCTGATTTTGCCAAATGAAATTAGAAAGACCGAGAAACCAAACATGTGTTTAGATAAACAATACACCATAATTAGACATCGCAGACAGAATGTTCACTTCATGTATTATAAATTATGGGGTATAAAAGGTTTTATAAGTAAAAAAAATCACACTTTCCAACAGTGGATTTATCCTTTGCAGTAAGTATAAGGATGGCTCGTGTTAAATCACATTCAAAGGTGCATTTTTTGTCCTTTTCTACGTACCACAATGCCACAATTATATAAAGGTACATGCATATATCATTGTAAAATCACTTTGCATGTATGTAGTATGTATGTTGAACTTCTTTCGCACTGTACGTAGCCAACCACGCTAATCTGAGGTGTGGGGGAAGGACAAATTAAACACAAAAAAGAAATGAGTTTCTAATCTAGACACAAAAGTGCATATCTTGAGTGGCTTCCTAACATAGGGAGGGAAAGCATTCCAGACGGCCACGGAAGTGCAACTGAAAGCACGCGATGCAGTGACTGTCTTTTGTTCGATGGCTAGCCAAAAGCCGCTGCGAGGATGACCAAAATTTGCATGATGCTTTACGCTCCTTGACGAGATTAGCCAGGTATTGTGGTTAATTTGTGGCAAGCACTTTGTGTGTATACCGTAAGTAAAAGCTTACAGCATAAGGCAATTAGCCAGGTGGTGCAAACTCACCGTACTCGCTGACACGCCGTGAACATTAAAATGTGTCCTCACATTGCGGAACAATTTGAGTGGGAGCATTAACATTTGTATGACTCATTCAGCAAGAAGTTACATCCACCTTGCATTTTGCTTCCCCTGAGCTTCTGCACTTTGTTGCATTACATAGGAAAAGAGAGCATAGCATTAAATTATCGAGTGTTATCTTGGAAACAAAGTCTGTAAAGCATATATCATGACATCGGTAGGGTAACAAAAGGAGGAAAAATGAATGTATTCATCATACCACGAGATAGGCTTCACAATACAGCATATAACATGCATGCCACGTTTCTATAAATCACAAATTAGCCAAATATTAATTTTATATATCGATAGCTTTGTAGTGCACACACGCACACACGTTGTGTTCTATTGGCGAACTAGATTGCATCGCCTTCTCAGAATCAGAATACTTTATTTATCCTTAGAAATCCGATGAGCTATTAAGCTCTTTTTCACACATGTCTCAGTAACATCAAGCTACTGGTGGTTGCAATAGCCCCCATGAGCCAAGGACGTTGGATGCTACCACCGCGGGTGGCAAATGCTACAAGTATCCACCTTGAGAAATATCCACCATTCACAGTATACACTGAGAGTTGACTCACTAGGGTTTGTACTCTCTGTTTTATAGACACTTTATATTTTCATATTTCTTGGATGCTTCATATCACAGTTTATTTTTCAAATCCATATTCTCTATCAAATATACCTTGGCACCCTTTTTAGATTAAAACATTTCGATAAAAAGCTACCACCGTGAACTCGCCATCATATATATGATTCTAGGAATAAGATGCTTAAAGAAAATATGTTTTAGAAATTGCCACACTGGGTGGTACCAATACAGTAATCACTGAGTTGTGTATCATCCCGGCATCATTTCCATCTCCATACAACTCGAGGATATGCAATTCCCCATGGATGAATAACCATACAATTGAGTTTAGAGTGTCATATTTATAGATTTAAATAGGTGTTGCTTAAAATCGCAGCAACGACAGAGGCAGTAAATGTGCTTCCACTATTGTGGTGGATTACATTGAACACTTCCATTTTATCCCCATATCTACGAAGCAAAAACTCAACACATGCATCAGTAACCCTGTCCTTAACGCATAACAATATATAATAATAAGTAATGTTTGAGGCACCTAGTCCTTCTTCATCGCACATAGGTTCTGTGAGCTATAGATTCTACGTATGTGTTATAGGTTCTATGTGCTATTACCCAAAATACCACTTATATATTTTTGCTTCAAGGCATCACTGCCAATGCAGTATCAACAAAAACATTGTGGATGTGTATCATCATCATGGGACCTCCTTTGCCAGTACCAAAATATAAGAATAGGTTTTCCCCTTTTTCTGGCAACAAAACAGGTGTTAAGATGTTAAAACACCAAACTGAAACCTTTTACAAGGAATCATGTCTGCATTAACCACAATACTTGTGGTCAGAATGCAAACAAAAAACATACTCTGATAATATAAGCATTGTCTTTGAAACTGATTGGTCCACACCAGATACAGCTTTCTTTTGAGCCTAGTCTCAAAACGGTGTTAGACCAGAGGACGCCAAGAGGCGTACAGCACAAAGACAATGCACTATCAGAGTAATGAGAGCTCTCATTATAATTCGGCTAATTTGACTTATCATACCCAGTGCTGCTTACCCACATTCATAATATCCTGGGAATGTGACATGACCCGCTTTTCAAAATCATGCAATGGATAGGTATTCCTACCCATGACTACGGTATTATTGTTGGTTACACATAACGTTAACAATACTAGATTTTGGTAGAAAACGCCCTCATAGTAATTTATAAGCATTGAATCTCGGTGGGCTTTCTGCAAGTGTATTGGAGTAATATTTTTTTTGTAACTAATTTCAAATCATAAATTAATGTCGTGTCCATGTTTATCTTGGACACATCTTACTTACATTTTCTAGAATATGATCAAATATCACATTGAGAATTAAGTTGCTGAGGTCAGCAAATAGGTTTGCTAAATAAGTTAATATGATATTTAGCTTCACGACTGACATACCCAGCAGTGTACTTTACGCTGTATTACACCCAACCCACGCCTGGGTACTTTGACTTTCATTTACAAAAAGATAACTGAGTGTGGTTTGGGAAAAAATATACATACAATTGTATACACATGATTCAAGCCCTGTAATGTAAAACAGCCCACCTGCATAGATGAATCAAATGGAGGTTGAGGAAAAGGTGGATGCAATTTATAAAGTTGGCTTGGATCATTTTTACTGCTGTTGGTAATTACACCGTTGACATTTTAATTACATTATTGACCTTAAAATGTAATAGGCCCAAACCCTGCATTGACTGTACATTATCATTTTCCACTGCCTTTCTTGATAACACATTTTCAATTACTGTTCATAAATATTTTTCAATATTGCACCTTTCTGTAATGCATAATGTATAAAATACACAACTATTAGTTTCGAATGCTGATACACCAAATGCATATACCACATTCCATAAACTGCCACAATTAATAGTTTGAATCATTCATTATGATGAACATTCAAGAGTGCTTTCATAAAATGTGTTAAATTCCTTTCATGTTTTGTTGCAGGAGGCAAAAATGAGCTTTGAGCAAGCACTACACTTGAGCAACTCAGTCAACAAAGACCAGCAGCCAGCTGATGCCGCAAGGGCCAACATTTATTTCCTTTTGGGGCTGTGTCTAATAGAGCAATCTAACTTCAAAGAGGTATCAATTTTAACTCAATGTCATCAAAATTGTCCATAACAGATTTTGTTTAATCGTTGCTGTATAATGCGTTGATTGTGTATGGATGTATGTTGAATTCTTTTGCACCGTACGTAGCCTACCCTGCTAATCGGAGTTGCGGGGGAAGGACAACAAACTAAACACAAAAATCAGTTCTCAAGAATTTAATTTTCAATCTAGATTTAAAAGTGCGTAGCTCCAGTGGCTTCCTAATGTAGGAAGGAAGGGCATTTCAGACAGCCGCAGCAATGCATCTGAAAGCGTGCGATGCAGTGGCCGTCTTTGTTCGATGGCTAGCTATCAAATGCCGCGGGAAATTTGTAACTTTTAAAAGCCTTGGTGGCCTGCCACCAATGACCTCTGATTTACCACAGCAGGAAGTTATGAAATAATTCCGGAAATAGGCTTGGAAATCTCTATTCTCCAATAAGCGTCACCAAGACATCCTCCCACCTGCTTCCTGTGTTGCCGCAAGCAAATGGGACAGACCTGTAATTCAGGCTGTATGTTCTGATGTTCACTATTTAGCATGAACATGTCAGTGTCGAACCCCCACGCTTGCTCACTGCATGAGGCCATTGCATGATTACTTACATTAGTTACTGTTGGCGCTTAATTTCTCACTCGATATATTCCGGAACACTGCTAGGCTGTCTTGGGGTAGGGATTAGTGGCATAAGGCACTACCACTAAAATACAAGATGTGCCTATCCATAACAATCCTATAATAATGTGCCATAATTAGATGCACAGACGCACCCTTGTTGTCAAGTGTGCTAACGAAAAGGGCGAGATGGATGTGGTGTCTCAAAATAATTCCTTGCCACGGTGTTCTGGACTGTTTGGCTGAAATTAAGCATTGGATGCTGTGATCATTTATTGAATGCAAGTTTCCTTGTGCATATATTTGGGGGATTTTTTGTGTTCATGCATAAACATGCGTTGTTTAACATTTAATTTAATCTCATGCTCATTTTTAAATTTACTCATTACCCTATACACACATAAGGGCAATCTAAATGCAAATACAGTTCATCTAAAATTGTTCCAATGAAATACATGACTGCTGAATACTTTATCAGTTTATTTGTGTTTAATTGTTATATTTTTACGAATGTGGTGACAAAATATATTTGTATTCCACGGTAATATGTTGAAATAATAATATTGCACGTGAAGGGTTGTTATCTTTTATGAAAGACAATCCTATAATAATAACCTTATTTATGCAAAGTGCCAAAAATTATTTTAAGCCATTAAAAAGTAATCATAGTTCCATATGGGATGACACTTTTTTAGATGTTTATTGAATCCTATGCCCCAGGCTTCTTAACATTCATACTGGTTGCACTGTGTTTTTGTTAAAGGCTTTGAAGGCATTCAGCGCTGTTCTGCATATCGTGCCAAAGCACCAAGAGGCCTTGTACAAGCGAGGCATCTGTCGCTTGAGGTTGCAGGATTCTTCAGGATTATTGGACATCAACCAGACATTGGCTCTCAACCCACACCATATTCAGGTAATAAAAGAGAATGTTACAGAAGTATTATGTTGAAGTTGCCATTGCTTAGTTATATTGTGAAGTTGGTTTTGACGGGTACAAATATTCTCTAAACTCCTAAAAACAAACACGTCAATATTCGAACAACGATGCTCAAGCACCTAACTTAGCTTGTCGAAAAAGCAGAGTGGGTATGGCATTGACGTGAATTACAATTATTATATTGTACACTATATTCCTATAATCCTATACACCTATAAGGGTTTTACTAGCAAAGTTGTCTTTTGTACACATTGGTCTATGTAAAATGATAGTATTTGCCAAATGAGGAATGTTTACATTTGTACTTGTGTGCTACTTGCCAGTGCACAGTATTAAGCTATTGATAGTTTTGTTTCACCCACCATAATCAAAGCACATCTTTACATATTTATTGACCACATTGAGATGCATTGGGACCAACCAAACATTTAATACAGTGGCCAAGTATATCACTAGAGATATTGTTTTCTTCAAAAATGGTTGAAATAGTGGTTTCAACCGAGTAAACTGTGTCTCAATACCAGCCGTAGCTAATATATATCCAAACAAGTCCTGGGCTCCCCCCCTTCACCAACCCACATTAACTAGTGTGGTGAAGTATGGTCAAACGTGGAACGTCGAGGTCTTCATCCAGCATGTGGATTTGACAAAAGGGCTGCAAATTATTTATATTAATGTTTTGTGTATTAAAATAGTAATGTCCCACTGTGTAAGATATACATTCCAAAATCTTGACAATGACCGAAGGGACTTTGCTAGTGTTGTGTGCTACATTGTAAGACGATCTTGTTTGCAGGCGTATCTGACCCGTGCAGCATACTATGGCATGAAGGGAAGATTTACAAAGGCCATCATGAACTGTAATGAAGTGCTGAAGATACAGCCCAGCTGTGTGAGAGCATTCCTGTATCGTGGGTCACTTAAATATTACATCAAGGTATGTGCTTTTTTTCTTCATTGTATCGATTGAGTAAGATCATTCACGTGTATTCCAATAGCTTATCACCATTTTTGGCTAACTATCGAACAAAGATGATTACTGCATCGCACGCTTTCAGATGCGCTTCTGCGGCCATCTGGAATGTTCTTCCTTCCGATATTAGGAAGCCACTGGAGCTATGCACTTTTACATCTAGATTGAAAACTAATTTCTTTAAAACCTCCGATTAGCATGGTTGGCTACATAAGGTGGAAAAGAAGTTCAACATACAAACATACCATTAAAATCTGTTAACAATCTTGACATGTAAATAGTGAACATTTGAAAAGTTGTAAATTACAAATATTGTCCCTGCATTGTATTACGCTAAGCTAAGACATTTCAATACCAAGTATTGTTAGAAGGTGTGAAATGTCATGTATAAGCTTATCGTTGCTAAATTAAAATTTACTCTGTGCAGAAATATGATGTCTCAAAGCACAACAGTTTCTGCACACACGTATACAGTATGTGGAAAGTCAGCCTATGCAACACATATTTTTGTATATTCTGATAGAAAAAAGTGTCAAAATAAAATAAAAAAAATACGACAAATTTGTCAGAAACAGTTATTCTTCCTCAATTGTTGAATATAACACCCTGTATATACTGTATAATTGTGTGCAGAGGCCAGAATATAAACAACAAAATATATAGGCTGACTTTCCACATGTATTTATTTTCATGGAAACACAGTTCTACATGAAATAAAGTTAGCTTTATGTAGAGTGTATGTGTGTATATATACCGTATTCTCTGTATTATAAGATGCTCCGGACAGTAAAACGCACCCCTATCAATTGCCCGTGTGTCGATTAAGTTTTACAAATCTGGTCACACTCGCACCAAATTATGAAATTCACTGCCTACTTTTGCTTTCAAATTAAGGGGGGGGGGGGGGGGGAAGTGCTTCTTACAATCCGGATAATAAGGCGTATAATACCTTGTTTTGTAAGGAAATATTTAAGGTGTGTGACCTCAATAAGTCTATCGCCGCCGCCACCACCGCCACAGGCATACAAGCTAGCAGTGGAAGACCTTAGCTCTGCCATCTACCTGGATGGCAGCTGCTCACTGGCCTTGTACAACCGTGCTATCTGCTATCAAGAGCTTCATGAGACTGACAAGGTACCAAAAAAAGGGACATCATTGCGTTACGATGCTCCTGAGTGTATTTGCTGCTTGGGCGTGTTTCATTAATATTTTGCACACGTGTATTCTTCAGGGCACACAGTATGGTGGATCGCCTAGTAGTCTCGCATCAATCAGCCGGATAGTGGTTTGGGTGAGAAATTGAGTCCTTAAAGTTAATATCCACCGCATTGACTGCAGGAGCACACCAGACCTTCCACCTCAGCCAAGACCTTGCTGGTACAGCAGCATGCTAGTCAGTTTGTTAGCCATGAGCAATGTTTTATCCATGTGTGCACAAGGTAATTAATTCCCTATTTATAGAAAAATGACAGCATTGCAAAGTGTGATATTTGGTGCTTACCAATAATTTACTTTAAAAAAATATGCAGATAAAAGAAGGGCATTATGTAATACTGATGTCATCTCCTATTGCAGTACATTTGAATGCAGCAGATGTAATTTTTATAGTTTTGTTTTCTGTGTTTATTACATTATCTCTTAATGTACGAGTAATGCGTATATAGTGCCGTTAGTAGAATAATTGCACCCTCTTTCACATTTAACAGTGTTCTTAGGACGTACTTGTCTTAGTCATACTGAAACAAATACATCTCATAATATTGTATTCTGCCTTGGGAAATATGCCCGTGTTTTTTTTATTCTAATAGCTAATATGTAAAATGTATAATCCCTGATAGCATTCAGGCAGAACCAATCCCCGTTTATCATTGGTAGCATTTGATAAAAAAATAAATCCAACCCAGTAATTGCATCGTTGATACATGGACTCAATCAGCAACATGATATGCCAACAAGAAGGGAGTTGAAAAATTACCCCAGATAACAGTTGCAGATATAATTTAAATATATGGTATTCGTTTTCAATGCATATTGTGATTATCATTCAATGTACTGGACAATGTTTGTCCGGATTGCTAATCTCAACACATTCATATGCTGTATAACCAAATGATTGATTACGAAAATAATCATATCGACTGCGTAATATTATGCTCAACAAATGTCATTGTAATTTAGTAAAAGTGAGCTTAACTGGATTTTGAAGGGTAAGAAACCCATACTTTCCAACGCATATATTGGCTGGTCAGAAAAATTTAGTTTCGCAAACTCACAATGCCTTCTGCCCTGAATGGTCGGTAGTACCAGACGAAATTGTCACTCTAAATGTGAACGTGGAGAAAATAAGTGACTGACATTGTTGAAAGAAAATCTTGCAGTATATTACTTTTTTTTCATTGGAATGTCCTATATGCATGTGTGACCTCTGCCTCAAGGTCTTCTTTAAGCTTTTGTTTTCTCCCGATGCAGGCTGTGAAGGATTACAGCACCATTGCCTTGCTTGGAAAGCAAAATGACTTGTGCAGAAAAGTGATGACAAATCGAGGATTGCTATACTTTGACAGAGGAGACTATCAAAATGCACAGCAGGTACTGTGATTGCGAAGAAAATGAGCACAGCACTTTCTTATTTAATCTATAATCAGAAATGTATCATGCTCAACAAAGGATCTTTATGCTAAAAGTAAAACTTTTCTTCATTGCATGGTGCCTTTCAGGCCAATGTCATTACCCGAAAACCAAGATTGTGGTATAATTTTATATTTTAATTGACTTGAGCTTTAGCATCATGACAGATTTGTTTTACTCTGTCAAAAAGGAATATAATTCATGCATTCTCAGAGTTAAGCAAGATAAACGACCATTACATTGATGCGGTTGCACATGTATAAGAGTGACACTCTAACAAAAGTCGAACATATTTTTTTATCATGTACAAATGTGTGTTGAATTAAGCAGGCTACACTATTTAGGATCTACAATGCCAAACACAATTAAATTACCTCTTTCCGAAAATCTTTGAAACCAGTTTACAATTCTAGCAGACACTAATGCGATTTTTCTTATAAATTGTACACTTTTTGAAATTATTTTTTACAACAATTGAACCTTATGGCGAGACCCCGGGATCCCGAATAAACGGAAGTCAAGATCATAATTAATTAATTTATGGCGACTCCGTCCCACCGCGCACATAAACGCCGCGACTCACCTGGCGCGAATCATTCTATTGTCATGTCGTCCAAGCGCAGCGAGGACGAATGTGCAGAAGAAACAAAACTTTTAAACTGTGATTAGCGTATCGTGTAGAGCTCGTCGAGAGGAATAGATTGACGTGTCGTTCGCCTTCAACAGACATAAAATGACGTCGCAACGCAGTTTATGCGAGAGCCGGGGGCTTATGGGACCCCGGGGTCCCGCCATGACGTTCAATTGACGCATCAGACTGGCGGCTCCATTGATGTCAGGTTACAATTGTCAAATATTACCAGCCACAATCCCTACCGCTATGTGTCACACTCCAGATGGTGGCTGGGAAATATGAGAAAACAAAAAATGTGATGCTGCATCCCTCCCACACAGAGTCAACATACCTCTCAAAAGGTCAATGTAAATATTGTAGAACATTGGTTCTAAATATGCGTAGTTGTTTTGGAAGCCTGGAACATTGCAGGGTATTTAATAGTATTATGAACATGGCACTCCTTGTGTGACAATGTGGGTTTTGTATTTGTCAATTACAAGGGTAAAGCATATTTATTCGTGACTAGTTTTACAATTGAATTCCTCGCCATGTGAATTAATGAAGATCTTCCCAAGCCATCCCCATCTGTCACGGTCACGCTATATGCAAGGATCAGCACACGAGCTGATCTCATCACTGAATCTTTGTATATATGTATGTTGAACTTATTTTGCACTATACATAGGCAACCGTGATAATCAGAGGTGCGGGGCAAGGACAGCAAACTAAACGAAAAAAAGCAGCATTCAATCTATATTATAAAAGTGCATAGCTCCAGTGGCTTCCTAATATCGGAATGGAGGGTGTTCCAGACGGATAGATCATGGCTGATGATAATTAATTGATGTAAACATTACTGGCTTGTTAATATAGATACATACAATATTATGCATATCTGTTGAATAGAGAGCTCAGATCGGAGAAATTAGAAAACACCTGCTAACAGATAATGTGCCTTATGTAAATAGGCTAAATAATATTAACATCAGATTAAATGGTAGCGTTTCCTTTAACACTTTATTACAGGATTGTGTACACACGCATTCATAGCGTTTGTAAGATTGTTGATGTGTGTGTCTGCTTGTGTTCTGTTTAAGAAAAACATACCAGTGCATGCTGGTGTTTGATTCTGCGACTATTTTATTTCTTTCTTCCCCTGGCCTCCATCTCTGGTGATGCTCTTCCCACCTCACTCATCCCTCACTGCTGCAGGAAACAATACCTGTGACTTCATCACGTCTTGATCCAACCACTGTAACTCTCCTCTGACCTGCCCAAATCCCTCACCTCCATATTCCAAATGATCCTAATTAATACCACCACATTTTTCAGCCACGTCTCTAATTAAGACCACATCAATGCCCGATCCTCAGATGCATCCAGTGGCTGCAAATACAGCCATTCAGTCCATTGCAAGATCACCATCGCTGTGGTTAGTCATCCCCACAGACTCGCTCCTGCCAACGCGCCTTGCTCCAGTCCCCTCCAAATGCTGTCTGCCTGACAATCAACGCCTTCTACCAGGCCCCTAGTCCAGGGGTCGGCAACCTGCGGCTCCCGAGCCGCATGCTGGCTCTTTGGCTCTGCCCCATTACGGACAGCCATAACAACAACAAAACTTTGAATCAGAATATGTTTGTCGTCTTCTGTATACCTGCTGTGTGTGTACAAGTAGCTGTCGCGTGTGATGTTGCTCTCGAACTATTTTGGTCAAAGACAAAGACCAAAAAAATAATGGTTCTTCTTCTTTGAAAGATTGCCGACCCCAGCCCTAGTCAATGTCTGGTCAATGAGAAATTATTCCTTCTGTATTCTTTGGATCTTTCAGTAACGTCACGTAAATAGGTTCAAATTAATAAAAAAACTAAGATGTTTCGATCACAACACAAGCGATCATCATGAGGAGGAAGAAAGAGAGGGAAAACTGCTGTGGCAGGCTCTTTTAAAGGTTTACAATAGGTGATACCTAGATGGCATCTGTCTCAAAATTTTCCATGAAAACATTGGCTACAACCAGAGATAAGGGAGAACCCATTGGGGTGCCTTCAACTTGTTTGTAAAATGTTCCATTCCAGGTGAAGTATGTATTGGTGAGGCAGTGTCTAACCAGGGCCGGTACATCAGCATTCAATCCTTGTTGGACTAAATATTCAATGATTGCAATGGTGTCGGGCACAGGAACTTTGGTGAACAAAGAAACTACATCGAAACTAACGAGCAAATCACCTGGAGATGTTGAGATGTCCTTAATTAAGGATCCCAAGTGAGCTGAGTTAAGTACAGATGAGGTGGTCTTACATCACTAGCCCTGCCCACGTCGTTTATGACGCTTGGGCTACACCCATTTTAAACCTTTAAAACAGTCTGCCTCAGCAGCTTCCCCCTCTTTCTTTCTCCTGATGACGATCGCTCGTGTTGTAATCGAAACGTCTTAGTATTTTGTTTATTTATTTTTTATTTATTTTGAACCTATCTACGTGACTTTACCGAAAGACCCAAAGAATATGAATTCCTACAGTCACGAAAGCTTTAAGTCAAGATTTATTCCTTCTGTGTTTCCCTCTTGAATCTTTGTGCTGCCAATGCCTGTGTTCAAGTGTAGGCTCTAGAGTGCCCTCTTTTCCTCTGCCTGTGATTGATTGTCCCTTCTCTACGAATGCACTTTCATCATCCTGCTGTCTTATTTCAAATGATTGAAGCACTTTCTCTAAATGATGAGAGAACTCACGTGCAGAAAACTGCGTGCAGGCTAGGCAAAATAAGGGTAATACCACAACCACAAGGAATCATTTCTAGACAGCAAAAAATACGTTTGTCGCGATTGGATATCCGCTCCCATCATGCCTTGCATGTCGCGTTACCGCACCATGCTGCACGTGCAATGCACACAGCTGTGTTAGACCACTAACTCAAATAAAAAAATGAAAATAATTTTCGACATGAAGAGGGCAGTTAAAGCTGTTCTGTATACCCGTACCCATTTCATCATCATTATGAATGATCAGTACAGTACAGCCATCTCCAGCTACCTTGTGGACAAGCCCAGCCTCATCACTAAGGACAGCTTGGCATTTACATCCCCTCGCCTTCTCCCCTCTGAAATAATCTCACCATAGCATGTATGTCTTGAGATGCGGTGACATTGGCATGCTTTATACATAAACATTCCATCGTATCGATATTGCATGGAACAAAGACGGTCACTGCATCACGCTTCTTTCAGATGCGCTTCGGCGGCCGTCTGGAACGTGCTTCCTTCCGATATTAGAAAGCCACTGGAGCTTTGTAATTTTAAATAATCTAGAACTGCTTTTTGTGTTAAATTTGTTGTCCTTCCCCCGCACCTCCGGTTAGCACAGTTGGCCAAGTACCGTGCTGTGCAAAATAAATTTAACATAGACGTTAATGATTTAAAGCTTTTGTTACTGCAGGGATTCATATTCTTGGTTCTTTCGGTAAAGACACGTAGAAAGGGAAACAATAAAATAACAATAATATAAAATAATAAAATTCTCACGACGTTTCGACTGCAACACAAGCAATCGTCATCAGGTGTGAAAACCACAGCAAGAAAATTAGAAAAAAGTGGCGGTTATTTTTAACGTTAGCACCACGGAGAGAGATTTGACAGTTTGTTCAGATGGACGAGTCCATCTATGTTCGGAAAAGAGGAGGGGGAGACGAAAATGATGGATGCGGTCTGAATGCCACCGTAAGAGTGAACAATCAATTAAGACCCGAAATGGTTTATCAAATCCTTCCAATGATTGCTAAGCCATAATCCATCTTCTCAGTTGAAATTGTCTCTGTGTTTCTATATGTGGATAGCCTCATGAACGAATCTCTCATGGTAGCCAGATGGCTTGACATGAAATCACATGTAAAGTTCACCGCAAGATTGTGAAAGCTAACTTCGAATTTAAGGTGATTATTGTTGTCGGAGGTTGAGTGACGAAGATGACTTCATGCAGATATAGATGAATGTCATGACACCAGCAATACGTTTAAATAATCACTCACATCTCTGCCTTGATACAGGATTTTTATGCAGCCAGCAAGATCAGTCCTACAGACCCCAAACTGCTCCAGGCATTGGGAATCTGCTATCACAGGTTAGTTGCATAACTGTGATATATGTGCACCTTCATCCTGACTATATATTCTAGCCTTTTGCCTGTCCATGGACGGGTGTATTTCATTAAATCTGAAACTTGCAAGCGAAAAGCAGACCGCGATGTGATATTCACTGCATTAATGCGTGTGCAATTTGTAAGGGCGCAGTGACACAGACCTATTTCATTTTAAAGTTATAATCCCTTGCTCATGATGACGTCCTTTTTACTTTGATGTCTCAATAGCGTTACGGAGATAGCTTGACGTGAGGGTTCTGCCTTTGTAGAGAGGGTTGTAAGTTGACGCCGAGGAGGGGGGAGGAGGCGCCTTGCCCCCCCATGTGGAGTGACGTCACCCGTTAATTATTATGAATGGGGGGGGGGGGTGGCCATTTGAAGGACGTCACCAGCTCATTATTAATGAGGGGGGCTGTTCAATGTGGAGCGACGTCACTTGCGCATGATTATTAGTGAGGGGGGGGGGGGAGTACTCCATATTGAGTGATGGCACCCGCTCATGATTATTAATGAGGAGGGGTGGGGGTGTCCATTTGGAGGATGTCACCTGCTCATGAATATTAATGAGGGGGGCTGGTCGATGTGGAATGACGTCACGAGCGTTAAGGATGGACATTCCTGGGTGATTATAGTAGGTATAAGATACAAACACTATTTGTAAATGTCAAGGAGGTCACCAATTCTTGTGCCCTTATTGCTGCTGCTGCTGCTGCTGTTGTCAGCCTGTAACTCGTAGGCTTTCGCGACTGATATTATTCATTTTTCAAAATTCTGGGCAAAAAACCTGATGAAGCTGGTTGTAATCACCAGTCAAACGTCGTACTCAAATTGTTAATGTTGTGGGATTTACTCGCAAACACACCAGTGTGCTAAAGTAATAACTCATTTACACATTTTGTTTACGTGACAACCCTTGCTAATTGGCTGTGTCGGGTGGCGGTGGTGGGTTAATGGCACATTTTTATTTACGTGATCTAACCCAAAATAAAACCTTTATTATAAGCCTGTAACTTCCCACTGCTGGGCAGATGCCAACCCCAAGCGAAGAGTCCTTTATAACTGCTGCCCAGTAAGTGGCCTCGAATTTTTTTTAAATTTCTTCTCGCTGCCACCTATTTCCCATGCCATCCTCTGCTTCCCTTGGCACGTCTCGCTGCCCGCTGTTATTAAGCAGCAAAACCCTTTTCGTCCCAAGGCTCGGCCGCGTGAAAGAAGCCGTCGCTGCATTTGGCGAAGCCACGAAGGCAGACCCCTTCTACGTGAGCGCGTACGTTGGGCGCGGCAACGCCCTCATGAACTACGGCCACGCGCCCGGCACCAGGGCGGCTCAGCGAGACTACCTCCGAGCGCTGCGCCTCAACCCGCTGAGCGCCCACGCCAGGGTTAACCTGGCCTACAGCCTTCAGGTTGGAACGAAGCAAGATTCGGAGCCGTCATGTTGGTTTTACAATTCTTCTTTTTGTATTGGCTGATGTAGCTGCAGAACAACGACTGCAATTTCACGTTCAGGTGGTCCATACGAAAGAAGAAGGTTAACAATAGCTCATTATCATCAATACTTACGTGTTGATTACAACCAACAATCCACTTCTGGTTGAGGGCCTCCCCATGCCACAGTAGTCGTGGGAGTTATTTGACTGTGCTTGTTAAAGGTACGAACATTTATATTTCTGCACTCCCCACTACATAGCCCTACAGCAACCTTTTACAAACTTTTTATCCAAGCACTATCCAGGCTCAACCAAAAATAGTGCTTAAAGAACATAGGCAAAGTCGTAATCCGAGACCTCAGATGGAGAAATTGTATTTTATTTTATGGGCATCTTGCGACGGTACAGCTTTTGTTATACGGTACAGATCTTAGTTACAATCATGGTTACATTGGTCGTGATACAAACAGCGAGTATCGGTAGGTGTGCATTACATGTTATCGGTGGAGTGGGTTCTAATCAAGCGCACACCAAGACTGGGAGGCAACACGTTTATACTCTAACACAACCAACACTATTCAACGTTCCAAGGTTAACTATGTACATTTCGAGCGACTATGTACATTACAGGTTAACGACATAAGGTGGTGGCCACCGTTCCTAACCACCTAACCATTTAAACATATTCTCTATATGGTTGAACTGAAAAGCGAAGATCCGAGAAGACGACTTCTTCCCGGGTTGAACAGCCACGCTTCCTCTAGGGGCTCGGCTTTTATTTCCTGTGGCGTGACCAAGCTCCGCTTCTGGTCACGCCCCCCTTCTCGATCCTTCGCGAAGACTCTGGGTCCACATCACGTGGCCTGCTCGCCCCCTTCTGGGGGCCCCCGTGCCCCCTCGTCCAGTCACGTGCTCATTCAGAGTGTCATGCCCTGATCTGACCTCCGTGACATCCAGAATCTGCCCCCTAGTGAGCCCCTTGTGTATAGTACACCCACTGTAGCCATAGAACGGCCCATTTATGTCGTTGAAAACGTACAAAAAACGAGACGTTAATTCATAACCAGGTGAGTGCTCATTGAGACTAAAAGTCTATTGTTAATGTCTCTTCTAATAATGCACAATAGCACTTATTTTTCTAAATATTGTGATAAATTATGGATTTTTATTAACCTCTTTTTTCTGATGTTTTAAAGAAAGCTGTGTACCCCATCAGCTCTTGCCAAGTTGTTTCACGCCACATTTTGATAATTAGAAATGGTATGCACTATTTCTGTAGGCGTATTGTACTTTTTAAAACACCATAAACCACCAAAATACCAGATAAATTATAGCTAAATTCTAGAAAATTGGAATATGCTAATGCTCTACAAACCATATCACTATAGCTGATAAAATATAATTGCAAAAAGGAATTATTCAAGCTTTACTACCAGGCAGTCAATGAAAAAGTTGAGAAATATTTTACATCCAACAATGTTCGAGCATATTGTGAGAGTCTTGGAATGTCACTTTTTAAATCACAATAACAATGTAAAGCTCATATAGGATTTTACCAGCATTGTGTATGAGCATAACTGCAGTATAGATAATCCGTACTTAAATTGTCCAAAATTAGCAGCACACCGACCTAGAAATCATTTTACATAAGAATCTAAAAGCTACCCCCTGTTTCTTTGCAGGCAAATGGAAGGTTTCAGAAGGCTTGGAATCATTTCACAACAGCAATTGAGCTGGACACACGATGCGCTGAAGCATTTGAGGGCCGTGCAGTTGTAAACCTCCAGATGAACAGCACGTTTGCCGCACTGCAAGACATCAATGCAGCCGTGAAGGTGGAAGTTTGCCATTCCTCATATGGATTGTACATCACCTTTGACACATTGAACTCAGAAGCATAAGCTCGTGGTGATTTTTAGAACTTAGGATGTTTGAAAAGTTTTAAGAGGTTGCTAAAAGTAATGCGTCTGCAATACATATGTTTTATCAGTCACCGTCATCAAGGTATTGCAAATTAATTATATACTATAATGAGCCAAGAATGTCGTAGGTAGGTTATTTCAACCTTTCTACGTGACTTTGCCGAAAGACCCACAGAATAATCATGAACAGGTTACGTCCTCCACATGGACCCCCCCCCCTCATTAATAATCATGAGCATGTGACGTCACTCCACATCGAACAGCCCCCCTCATTAATAATCATGAACAGGTGACATCCTCCAAATGGACACCCCCGCCATTAATAATAATTAGCGGCTGACGTCACTCCACATGGGGGGGGGGGCGAGGCGCCTCCTCCCCCTCCTCGGCGTCAACTCACAACCCTCACTACAAAGGCAGAACCCTCACGTCACGTGATCTCCGTAACGCTGTTGAGACATCGAAGTAAAAAGGACGTCGTGATGAACAAGGGATTATAACCTTTACATGAAATAAGCCTGTGTCACCGCGGCCTTACTAATTGCACACAAATTGATGCAATGAATATATCACGTCGCGGTCTGATTTTCGCTTGCAAGTTTCAGATTTACTGCAATACACCCGTCCTTAGACGGGCAAAATGCTAGTACTGTATATATTATATGCACATGTGAAGAAATAAGTGCCGTGCATATGGGCTTTCAAAATAAGTCAGTCGTTAAATAGATGTAATGTGTTGCGTTACATTATAATAACTAATGGGTTGTTATAAAGCATGTATGGTATGCCCTCTCTAAACACAATGAAACCAACAATTTTTATAAACCTATTGCTTATGATCATGATTGCAGCAACAGCTTATATATTTATTAACAAGTTAAGGATGCAGCTTTGAAAAATAATGTAGTTTGCATTACAATAAAAGTACCATATTTAATGAGCTCGTAAATTATTTTATACAATCCTTTGCCTATATCAAAATCAGTATGACTCAGGGGGAGCACGCCTTTTGTTGCCAAAAAAATAACTTGGACACGTGTGCTTCAATGGTCATCGCAACTGACCCGGGCAATACGCGCGTGTGCGCGGTTTCACGCCCCTCCCGAACGGACACCATGCAGCTGGGGAAGTCGGCCGAGGTGCTGACAAACCGCGGCGCGATCCACCAGTGTTCAGGCGATGTGGTGAGCGCGATGCGCGACTACCAGGCTGCCATCGTCGCCGATCCCAACTACGCCCTCGCGTACTACAACGCCGCCAACGTGTACCTGCACGGCCGCCAGCTGACGCAGGTGGTCTTGACGCTGCAAACGAGGCGCCCTTTTGTTACGTTCCCGCGCCGGAGCTCGACGACAATCTCAGTGTTTCAAGTAACAGAGGGCTCACTTGTGTCTTGACCAGACGGCCGAACAACATTGCCTTGGCCATTTGACCCATTGTTGTGAATGGAGACGGGACAGCAACGACAACAACAACAAAAAACATGAATCATTCGTCCAAAAGTTGATTTCAGAATGAGAATAAACGTGGTTGGAATGGAAAATTTTCAGTTTGCAAGGAGGCTTTGTTCTGCCGTGAAGTTTTAGTGAATACACACTCAGTATATCAGAGAATAAAGAAGAGAATAATAATAAAATAGCTATTATGGAACACCTCGAGAATTTGAACATCTAATTGGAGTGATTGTAAATTGCAAAGAACTGCACACCCTTGTACATAATGTACCAATTATCACAATTTTGGGCGACCAATATTTCCTCTTAATAGAATAATGATGTGCTGCCCTTTTTCATTGAATGCCGGATGAAGTCCTCCCCACACTATCGTTCATGGGGATTGTTTTAACCATACCTCAGAGTCCCAATTCAGATCAAATTTACCACCGATGTTAGCCATGGAAAGTCGTGTCGCTGGCTACGTAGTACGGTGCGCTCACCGCTGCACCACCACTTGCCACTTTCAATATAGTGCATACTGAATATGATCAATTACATTATACGTATGTGCATTAACCAAACATGCGCACCTCTGATTAGCACCACGGTTTGGCTACGTACGGTGCGAAAGAAGTTTAACAATACGTGCAAAACATGCAAATAAATATACTTTGAGTATATATGTATTGTCGTTGAAACTGTTTGGTCTACACCAGAAACAGCCTTCTATATGACTTTAGAATCTTGGTACTGGCAAAAAGGGTCCCATAGATAAGTTTGTTAAATCCCCCCCCCCCCCCCCGGTTCAGTGGTATGCGGGTACACCACAGACGATTATCAGTTCACAATGTGGTGGGATAAACTGTGAGTAATCCCAACTCTTTCAAGATGTCAGGCCAGTGTAGAAGAGTAGGCCAAATACAGCGCTGCAACCTTTACCTTTTATTTGTCCACGTATTTGAACTTGATGAAAACAAGTTTTTTGCAGACAGTTCATGTCGTCGTGACCAACCACTACTGTCGTAATATTAAAAGAAATGTATTTCGTTTGCAAAAATAATTATATTAAAGACAAGCACATCACAATCAAGTTGTTTAAAAAAAACGTATTACGGATAGAAGTACCTTAACTAAAGTACGTTGTCTAAAATTAGAATTGTAATTGTAAAAAAATGAGTTGTACCAGTAAATAAAATCAATTGAATAAAAAAAAATGATTGCCATTTATAGGTTGTTGTTGTTAATGTCCATGTGTTTTTTAAAGCTGCTATTCATATTGTACAATAGATACGAGATATGCCTGCAGATGGGACATCTTAAATTTGGCATTTTTTTTCAATTGAGGGTGGCGTCCATGGTGCAGTGGTTGTCATACTGCGCTACGAACCTGTTAGCCTGAGTTCGCCGTAGCTAACATCGGTGGCAAGTAATATTTTTAATCAATCCAAGGTCCCCCTGGACCAATACTCAAGCTGGTGAAGTATGGCCTAACAACCCCCATAACTGAAAGTCTTGGGGAAGCATTCATCCAGCGTCGGATTGACACTGCTGTAAATATACATAAGTTAGTGATGAAGGATGGCTATGGTGGGTTAGAGTGGAGGTTTGAGCTCCCACACCTCCGATCAGCACAGTTGGATACGTACGGTGTAAAAGAAGTTAAACATATATACGTATAAGCCTTAACCAATGAAGCAGGCTCATTCAATTTCGGTACAATTCCCCATTACTGCTATGGTGGAACACATCCGAGCATTGATTGATACTTCAAAGTTAATTTAAGTAAAACACATGTTAACGGCCTGCTGTTTTTTATTATATTAATTGTACATCAACATATGACATCTGGTATATGCCTCGCATTGACTTGATGCACAAGCACAGCGTATGATGACCCATCCTGTGCTAATGTTCCCCTGTAGTAATTTAACCTGTGTGTGTGTGAGACCTTCACCTCTGCAGGCACTAGATTACTATGACCGGGTGGTGGAACTGGATCCGATGGATGAATGTGCCATCCTGAATCGGGCCATCGTCCGCTCGCTGAGCGGCGATGCCACGGGAGCTCTGGCTGACTTTTGCAAGGCCGCCACGCTAAGCCCACAAACGTCATACATCTACTTCAATCGTGCAAACCTTCACTCTATGCTCGGTCAGTACAAACGAGCGGAAGCAGACTACACTGAAGGTAAGATTCCGCAGCCAGAAAAGAAAGCCATTCCACTGCTGTTCAGTGTTTTATTCACACTTCTGTGGACCTCTGTATTATTTATTAAGATTGTGAGTGAAATCGTTATTTCATAGTCTTAGCTCTTTCGGTAAAGTCACGTTGAAGGGAAACAATAAAATAATAAAATATATATAAAACAATGAAAAAAATTCTCACGACATTTCGACCATAACACAAACGGTCGTCATCAGGTGTGTCGGTTTGCATTAATTTACTTATTTTTAAACGATGTATTTATTTATTTATTTTAAAAAACCCGACAGCGCCTCGTGCAGCGATTTGGCAGTTTATTTAGAAGGACTAGTCCATCTATGTTCTGAAAAGAGGAGGGGGGAGACGAAAAATTAATGTATGCTGTCTGAAAGCCACTGTAAGCGTGAACAATCAATTAAGACCTGAAATGGTTTATCAAATCTTTCCAATGATTGCTAAGCCAGAATCCATCTTCTCGGTTGAAATTGTCTCTGTGCTTGTATATGTGGATAGCCTCATGAAGGAATCTCTCATGGTAGCCAGATGGCTTACAAAGAACCTCTGTCTTGGAAAAGTCAATGTCATGTGAGCCTACTGAATTATAACAATGATCTGCCACGGCCGAGGTGTTGGTCCTACCGTGTTTAAGGTCTGCTTTGTGTTCACGAATGCGGTCCGAGACATGGCGTTTGGTTTCTCCAATGTAACTACTACCACAGAGGCAACTTAGTTTGTAGACACCAGGGTACTGTATGTCCGGAATCACATATTTTACAGACGGAACCAGATCAAGGATTTTATGTAATGTGTTGAAACGGACCTGGATCTTGTGTTTATTCAAGATTTTGGAGATTTTTTTTGTGATCCCCGCAATGTAGGGTAAAGTGATGGTTTTGAAAGGCTCCTCAAGAGGGTCCTTCTTCATGGTTTGAGTGATAGCTTTGCGGATTGTATAGTCAGAGTAACCATTAGCCTTAAGTGCTTGGTGTACGTGCTTGAGTTCACTGCCTATGTGTTCCTGGTCGGATATGCATTGGGCTCTATGATACAGAGTCTTGATGAGAGAATTCTTCTGTGATGGATGGTGGTGGGAATCCGGTTTCAGATAAGCATCCGTATGGGTAGCTTTCCTGTAGACAGAGTGGCTCATTGAACCATCAGGTCTCTTTTTAATTAGGACATCCAAAAAAGGTAGCTTGCCATCTTTTTCGACTTCCATGGTAAATCTGATGGCTTGGTGTATGGAATTGATATGGTCGAAGAATTGGTCTAGAGAAGGCCGGCCATGTGGCCAGATGACAAAAGTGTCATCCACGTACCTCTTCCATAAGGTTGGGCGCAGAGTGGCAGTCTGGATGGCGTCAGTCTCAAATTTCTCCATGAAAACGTTAGCTATAACCGGAGATGGGGGGGGGGGCCATTGGAGTGCCCTCAGTTTGTTTGTAGAAAGTTCCATTCCAAGTGAAGTATGTATTGGTTAAACAGTGTCTCACCAGGGGGGGTACCTCATTGTTTAGTCCTTGATGAACCAAGTCTTCAATGATTGCGATGGTGTCAGGTACAGGAACCTTGGTGAATAAGGAAACTACATCAAAACTGACAAGCAGGTCGTCTGGGGACAGGGAAATACCCTTGATTGTCGATACCAGGTGAGTATAATTTTGTACCGCAGAGGTGGTTTTTCCAGTGAAAGGACGCAGGATTTCAGACAAAAAACGAGCCAGTTTGTAGGTGGGGGAGTTGATAGTAGAGACGATGGGACGAAGGGGTGTATCTACTTTATGTATTTTTGGTAAGCCGTATAATCTTGGTGGCCTGGCAGCAGAAGGTTTCAACGAAAACTGTTTAGATTGATCAATTAATGCGGTTGAATCAGAAATTATTTTGTTGGATTGTGTGACGAGGCTGTTGGTGGGATCTCTTTTTATTTTTGTATAACTACCATCGTCGAGTAATTCTTTAATTTTGTTGTTGTATTCTATTTTATCCATGATGACAGTAGCATTGCCCTTGTCAGCTGAGAGGACTACAATATCATCCCTCTTTTTTAATTTATATTATTCAAAACGCTCATCTTTGCTGAGGTTGCTAGCTGGCATCTTAGCGTTTTTGAGGGTTGAAGCGATTTCAGATCTTGCTACGTCTGCAGCGATGTGACCCAGGTCCCTGAGAGCAACATCTACTTGGGCAATTATATCATTAACTGGTATGTGTTTAGGTGTGACTGCAAAGTTTAGACCTTTAGCTAAAACGGATTTCAAACCATCGGAAATAGAACTGTTACTGCGATTAATTACGACTTTGTTAACGTCTAACTTTTTGGTGTGTGGGTCCGGTCTTTTGTTGAAGAGGAGGTTAAATTTGGAAATCAGGTTGTCCTTACATTTGGTCGACATAGTAGCAGCTGAAGAGGCAGTCATATTGTCTACATGTTCCCAATCCGATGTGGACATTGTTGCCGTCAATGATAAGTGTGATTTGTAGAGTGTCTTGTCTAACTGATCTAGTTCGGTGCGTATAAGTCTGATTTTTTCTGAGATTAGAGCTAAGCTAGTTTTGAAAAGAATTCGTTTCGCATTAGAAGAAGTTACAGCAGCAGAAGTCAGTGTAAATGCGATTGTTATTACCCCAGTCGCGGCATCTCTTCAGAAAGGTGAGAGACTCGATCAGCTGAGCCTTCTTATCCCGGAGTTTGTTGAAGGATCTTAAAGTTACGTGGAAACCCTCCCCGTAGAGGCAGTTAAATTTAGATTTAAAGCTTTCGTGACTGCAGTAATTTATATTCTTAGCTCTTTCGGTAAAGTCACGTTGAAGGGAAACAATAAAATAATAAAATATATATAAAACAAAAATTGTCACGACGTTTCGACCAGACTTATATGCACCGAACTAGATCAGTTAGACAAGACACTCTACAAATCACACTTATCATTGGTGGCAACAATGTCCACATCGGATTGGGAACATGTAGACAATATGACTGCCTCTTCAGCTGCTACTATGTCGACCAAATGTAAGGACAACCTGATTTCCAAATTTAACCTCCTCTTCAACAAAAGACCGGACCCACACACCAAAAAGTTAGACGTTAACAAAGTCGTATTTAATCGCAGTAACAGTTCTATTTCCGATGGTTTGAAATCCGTTTTAGCTAAAGGTCTAAACTTTGCAGTCACACCTAAACACATACCAGTTAATGATATAATTGCCCAAGTAGACGTTGCTCTCAGGGGCCTGGGTTACATCGCTGCAGATGTAGCAAGATCTGAAATCGCTTCAACCCTCAAAAACGCTAAGATGCCAGCTAGCAACCTCAGCAAAGATGAGCGTTTTGAATTATATAAATTAAAAAAGATGGATGATATTGTAGTCCTCTCAGCTGACAAGGGCAATGCTTCTGTCATCATGGATAGAATAGAATACAACAACAAAATTAAAGAATTACTCGACGATAGTTATACAAAACTTAAAAGAGATCCCACCAACAGCCTCGTCACACAATCCAACAAAATAATTTCTGATTCTACCGCATTAATTGATCAATCTAAACAGTTTTCGTTGAAACCTTCTGCTGCCAGGCCACCAAAATTATACGGCTTACCAAAAATACATAAAGTAGATACACCTCTTCGTCCCATAGTCTCTACTATCAGCTCCCCCACCTACAAACTGGCTCGTTTTTTGTCTGAAATCCTGCGTCCTTTCACAGGAAAAACCACCTCTGCGGTACAAAATTCTACTCACCTGGTATCGACAATCAAGGGTATTTCCCTGTCCCCAGACGACCTGCTTGTCAGTTTTGATGTAGTTTCCTTATTCACCAAGGTTCCTGTACCTGACACCATCGCAATCATTGAAGACTTGGTTCATCAAGGACTAAACACTGAGGTACCCCCCCTGGTGAGACACTGTTTAACCAATACATACTTCACTTGGAATGGAACTTTCTACAAACAAACTGAGGGCACTCCAATGGGCTCCCCCCTATCTCCGGTTATAGCTAACATTTTCATGGAGAAATTTGAGACTGACGCCATCCAGACTGCCACTCTGCGCCCAACCTTATGGAAGAGGTACGTGGATGACACTTTTGTCATCTGGCCACATGGCCGGCCTACTCTAGACCAATTCTTCGACCACATCAATTCCATACACCCAGCCATCAGATTTACCATGGAAGTCGAAAAAGATGGCAAGCTACCTTTTTTGGATGTCCTAATTAAAAAGAGACCTGATGGTTCAATGAGCCACTCTGTCTACAGGAAAGCTACCCATACGGATGCTTATCTGAAACCGGATTCCCACCACCATCCATCACAGAAGAATTCTCTAATCAAGACTCTGTATCATAGAGCCCAATGCATATCCGACCAGGAACACATAGGCAGTGAACTCAAGCACGTACACCAAGCACTTAAGGCTAATGGTTACTCCGACTATACAATCCTCAAAGCTATCACTCAAACCATGAAGAAGGACCCTCTTGAGGAGCCTTTCAAAACCATCACTTTACCCTACATTGCGGGGATCACAAAAAAGATCTCCAAAATCTTGAATAAACACAAGATCCAGGTCCGTTTCAACACATTACATAAAATCCGTGATCTGGTTCCGTCTGTAAAAGATGTGATTCCAGACATACAGTACCCTGGTGTCTACAAACTAAGTTGCCTCTGTGGTAGTAGTTACATTGGAGAAACCAAACGCCATGTCTCGGACCGCATTCGTGAACACAAAGCAGACCTTAAACACGGTAGGACCAACACCTCGGCCGTAGCAGATCATTGTTATAATTCAGTAGGCTCACATGACATTGACTTTTCCAAGACAGAGGTTCTTTGTAAGCCATCTGGCTACCATGAGAGATTCGTTCATGAGGCTATCCACATATACAAGCACAGAGACAATTTCAACTGAGAAGATGGATTCTGGGTTAGCAATCATTGGAAAGATTTGATAAACCATTTCAGGTCTTAATTGATTGTTCACGCTTACAGTGGCTTTCAGACAGCATACATTAATTTTTCGTCTCCCCCCTCCTCTTTTCAGAACATAGATGGACGAGTCCTTCTAAATAAACTGTCAAATCGCTGCGCGTGGCGCTGACGGTTTTCATAAATAAATAAATAAATCGCTTACAAATTAATTAATTAATGCAAACCGACACACCTAATGACGACCGTTTGTGTTATGGTCGCAACGTCGTGAAAATTTTTTATTGTTTTATATATATTTTTATTATTTTATTGTTTCCCTTCAACGTGACTTTACCGAAAGAGCTAAGAATATGAATTACTGCAGTCACGAAAGTTTTAAATCAAAATCGTTATTTCAGTAAACAACTTTGAAAGCCACTTTAAAAGCTACCTCACTCCATGCGAGTGTTTCAAACATTGCTCATAGTCGTCTGTTCTATGAAAGTCCTTGAACCATCAAGCGGGCTGACGATGCAGGAAGGTGAAACACACTGAAGAGACAAATATTGGCTGCAGCAAGCTTTTAAGAATCATGGCTGCATGTATAACTCAAAATAAGTGTCTTGAACAAGCAAGAGATGTGAATTCTGTGCTCCCATCAGTTTTACAATGACAATATGGAAGTTATATTCTATGTTAAATACGCTTAACTAGTAATATCCTCACTGACGAGTCACTGATTTCCTGCTCTTATATGGGTTTCTCTTGAAAAATAAATATTTTAACTGAGTGTCAATTCACATGTTTGAGAATGAAGAAAGCTTTAGTTTGCAAAGACAAAATGTCTATGGATGTAACCTTGCTCTCGGCGATATAAATGTATTCATTGGCCTATTGATGGGACACAGCCATAACATCACCATACATAATGTAGACATTTAGGAGGGAAGATAGGGGCATAAATAAAATCTGTGCGTTGTATAAACATTGTGGCTTTCAAAATGTGTTTATTCGAATATAGCTCATGTATTGTAAATGTTAACACTGTTGTGTTGAATTTCGATTTAAAGCTTTCGTGACTGCAAGGATTCATCTTCTTGGTTCTTTCGGTAAAGTCACGTAGAATGAGAATAAAACAATAAAACAAAATAAGACAATAAAATTCTCACGACGTTTCGGCCACAACACAAGTAGCCTTCTTCAGGTGAAGGAACAGAACTGTCGGGACGACAGCGCTTCAATGAACGCTGCTAAGATTCGCAGCGTCTTTTAAACTAATCTCCCAGTTACATGCTAATTTCTGACTTTAACACCCTGCTGATCCAACACTTTAACACAGCTATTTCAATGCTAAATTCTCCTGTTTGATATGTAAACTCCTTTGTCAAGGCGCTTTACCTCTCCCACCTAGCTTAAAAGACGCTGCGAATCTCAGCAGCGTTCATTGAAGCGCTGTCGTCCCGACAGTTCTGTTCCTTCACCTGAAGAAGGCTACTTGTGTTGTGGCCCGAAACGTCGTGAGAATTTCATCGTCTTATTTTGTTGTATTGTTTTATTCTCATTCTACGTGACTTTACCGAAAGAACCAAGAAGACTGTTGTGTTGATTTAAATTAAAGTCCTTACAAATGAAATAAGAATTTGTAGTCCTTTGTCAGGCCACTGCTGAATGAAGGCCTCCCATTCAGTGGAATTAATGGCTTTGCCCTTGTGTTACAGCTCTGACCCTTCAGCCGCACGATGCAGTTACCTACTTGTGCAGGGCAGAAGTCCGTGGCAAGCTGGGGGAAAAGGAGGATGCGATATCCGATTATAGACGTGCGGTGGAGATACAGACGGGGAGAAAAGAGTCACTGGAAATGTGATTCTTCTTCTTTTTTTTGACATTGACAGTGATCACAAGTTGAAGCCTATAGAAACTTGTTACTGGGATTTGACCCAGATGGTGACACGTCTTTAAAGTCCTTCAAAAAAAAGAACAGAACCACCCCCCCTCGAAAGAAAATCAATTATCATCCCTGTGGGAAAACACAGAATCTCATTGGACCAGTAAATTACCTTGAACCTTTGATCTTAAGCCATAATTTATACGGATACACCTGGAGATAGATACACGTGTCTGTGTAGAATTGCTTTGAAAGCAAAGTAAGCTTTATTGACATTAATTCCATATACCAGTACGTTCAGGACATCACCTTCAAGTATTTCTAATTCACATCAATGTAACATTTGACATGTTATATTTATATTTTATAATTTGCTTTCATTAAAGAAGGCCTTACTACATTAAAATGGCATCTACATGTAATACTAAAGACCGAAATCACTTTTATTTACACTGGTGTAACATTTGCACAATAACATACGTCAAAACATGTCAAATACTAAACATTGTTATAAGACCATTGTAGTTGCTAAGTTAATGTTTATTGCCAAAGAGGCGTATTGTCATTAAATGTAAAAAAAAAGCAACTCTTACGAGAAAACTGTATTTCACATTACGCTCTCAGTTTGTTCACTTTTCTAGCATAATTACCCTTGATTGCCATCGTGCCTCTATATATAGAGAGTATGTAGTTTTCACTCTGCATTAAATGCTCATTTCATTTTAAATATCCAATTTTTTCTCGTAAATTTGCTTTACCCACTGACATTTCGCAACTCAAGGTGCAGCTTAATTGGAAGTGGTTCATTTTAGTCCAAGGGTGACCCTTGTTTCATTTCGGTAATTTACAGTTTTATTTGCAGTGTTAAATAAACGCTTATTTGTGCACAGTAAGTTTAGTGTTATGGCTAATTTGGTTAGAATGCGTGCAATTATATTGTTTGTACACATAAGGTCACTAAAAGGGTATTACCTCAAATTGGCTATTAAGCATGAATTTAAATGAGTGGAAATGAGACTTTGATATTAATTTGTTATTTCAAATTATTTGACTTGAAAAATCTAACTGCTTTATAAAATGTACAGTTGTGAGTACATTAGCGTTCACAAGCTGGTGGTTAAGGAGGGCTGAGGTTTCCTGAATTGCAACTATTATGACAATAGGTTTTTCCCCTTTTTTCTGGCAGCAAAACAGGTGTTAAGATATTAAAGCACCAAACTGAAACCTTTTTTTACGAGGAATCATGTCTGCATTAACCACAATACTTGTGGTCAGAATGCGAACAAAAACACTGATAATACGTATGTGCATTGTCCTTCAAACTGATTGGTCCACACCAGAGACATCTTTTTTTTTGAGCCTCGTCCTCTGGTCTAACACCGTTTGAGACGAGGCTCAAAAGAAAGCTGTCTCTGGTGTGGACCAATCAGTGTTAAGGACAATGCATATATTATCAGTGTGTTTTTTTGTTTGCATTCTGACCACAAGTATTGTGGTTAATGTAGACATGATTCCTTGTAAAAGGTTTCAGTTTGGTGTTTAACATCTTAACACCTGTTTGTTGCCAGAAAAAAGGGGAAAATCTATTCTCATATTTTGGTACTGGCAAAGGAGGTCCCATAATTCAACTATTCTATTTAAAGCTGTCATGTATTTAATTAAATATAAATATAGGTGTAATTCCGTTTTAAGACTGTGTCAATGAGGAAGTTGGTGAGTTTTTCTGACTTCTCTTTGTAGATCATTGCCGAAGCAGTCCCATTATTATTATTATAAATTCATCTTCATTGCAGAGAGGACTTGTCTATTCCACAAACCTAAAATCGGTAGGTCTTTATTTCATGATGATATTTAAATGTCGAATACATTTTATCGATGTTTAATACGCAATTTAATCAACCACGTTAAATGAGAGACTGGTTAGTCCCAAGTGTCTTGGTTTGGCATCGCACTTGCAGTAAGTAAAAATGTCACGTACGTCTTCATCAGTTCATTGAGACAAGGATCGTCAATTTACGTGACTTGTGGCGACACGTGGGTGGTGGCTAACACCGATCTGCAGAGCCCTTTGTCACTGCACTGCTCTATAGAGGCCTCCCCCCCCCCCCCCCCCATGCTATGTCGACCATGCAGACTGTTTGACCATACTTCACCATTCTGGTTAGTGCCGGTTTGTGAAGGGTTAGTACCATGGCCCTCGTGTCGTGTACTCAACCGCAGAGAACTGAGCCCTAGTTTGAGAAAAGAGTCACCACTATCGACTCATCATTACCCAACTGAGCATCAATCCACCAACTAATATCGCAGGAACTTTAAAATCTACGCCGCTGCCTTGGCTTCTTGCAGTCCAATGTCTCGCCACCGGATGTTCACTGTGATGCTGCAAGACTCCGTGAACTGCACCGACCAGAAGTGCACTCAAACCTGCCCCTCAACAATGATCGGAACAACAATCCCGCATCTATGACTGAGATCCAGAATTGGGCCTGTTTGGAAACACGCGGCACAAACTCCGCGTGACGCGAATTTCAACAGCATGGGGGTTAAAGCACTGTGCCCAACTAACACCGGATCAACAAGCACACCACCAACGCACTGCCTGGCTTACACAACACGCAGCTCATCAGCGAGCCCACCACTAACACACTGACTTACACAACACACAGCTCATCAGCGAGCCCACCATCAAAACACTTCCCGGCTTCCATCTTCCACAGAAGCAATGGACAGTGCTTAAAAACTAAAAAAGATGTGGATACCTGAGAGGTGGAAACGAAACACGCTCCAGTGTACTACTGCAGCTGCAAACACCAACCACATACCGTATAGACCTTCGCACTACCCCAAGCACACATTTGAAGGCAATGTGTATCTGAAATTCACCAATTGTCAAACAAAGCAAATGAGTGGCTTAAGTACTCAGAACTCTAATCTGTAATCGTTGCTTTTCATTGGTCATACGAAGCCATCATCAGTGACATAATGTCTATTTTGTGTTGGGTGTTGCTCGGGTGAGCTCGCAAACTCAGCAATGGAACGGCGAGAGAAGTGGCATCCAAACCGTGGGCCTGCTGGTCACGGTTGTCTCCGCAAGGCCACGCGAAAAGGTCCACGAAACTGCCGTCGGTCGTAAGATTTAGAGTCGCTTTAATTTGTTAATGGTGCACGATGGACAGGCAAACGAATTGTGAGGGTTGCCTGCGAGCGGTCTGCGGGGCGCAGAGTGGTTGGGCTGGAGTATTGTTACTCACAACCTGCCTTTGCCATGCCAGTGATGTTTTTTTCACTCATTGTGCAATTGGTACATTGCATCATCGTCTTGCGTATTTTCACATGCCCACCACGGCAATCTACAAGCTGCGAGGGGAAGCGTACGGCCTAAATCTAACAAATATAATTAAATCTGAACATTTAATATGGATTTCAGTTGTGAAATGTATTGCAAATGAAGTAAATTAATTCATCTTGTCATGGTTCATGGAGACAAATCTTAGCAATTTACATTTTCCTCACATCGTATGGGTCCTTTAAAAGCCCAGCTGGCGAGTGTGGAATTCAATCGTTTTAATATCCCAAGTGTGTTACACCCAGCATTTCACATATAGATTATGAAACTGATGCCGTGTGCTATATAAATGTCAGTCTTAAAACAAAGAACTGATAATGACATTTCCTTAAGTGTATTGAAATATTTGCAGTGAAAATACAGTTTGTTCCATGAGGTTAATCGTCCCATTAAATCCCACGTATGTAACATTCGGATGCGTCTGTATCAAACATTTGTAAAGTACCGGGGATTCATTTAAATGTTATTCTACTGCATGAAAGGTGATCATTGTGCCCAGCGTCCATGCTGAGCCAGAGCACAGATTTTAGCTCAACCCATAATCAAGTTATAGCACCCAAACGTTCCAAACCAAGATCGTGGCAGCCAGATGTCAATGGCTTTACTTCCTGAATGTGATGTGAATGCCATTAAACCGCTTGTATGATATCTGTCTCTCTCTCTCTCTCTTTGGTATTGATATGGACTGAGTAGCAACTAAAAATCGATGCCTTAGTTGGGGACTTGTATGATTACGACAGTATTCATGTTCCTATTACTTTTAATGTTAGATGAAAGTATTGCAGCCCATTGCAAAAGCATTCTGTCACGACGACGACGACACCTTGCACATTAACAAATTATAATTTGAATTACCTTCAGACAATCACTCTACTTTGCTGCAGTTGATGGTGTGACATTCGACAAGTAAATTAAATAAAAGCTTTACACCTGGCAGAGAGAGGGTGCATTATCTGACGTGCTTATTACACGTTTCATACTTAAATGGTAAGAGTGCGTGCATCCTATCAACATCTCATCAGCGCTAGCCCACACGTATGTCTGTCTGCACCACACATGCTTTGACGCCACACACAGCCTGCATGCGTTACACTGGATGGAGACCGCATTGTGCTTTCAGATGCGCTTCTGCGTCCGTCTGGAACGCTCTTCTTTCCGACTGGAAGCCACTGGAGCTATGCACTTTTAAATCATCATCTAGATTTTTTTTCAAACTTTTTTCTTAAGAACTGCTTTTTGCCTTTAGTTTGTTGTCCTTCCCCCTCACACTCCAATTAGCGCGGTCGGCTATGTGCGGTGTAAAAGAAGTTCAACGTACATACATAGACTGCTGCCAAGCTGAGTGTACGGGTTGGCAGCGTGCAGCATGCCCTGAATTTACCCTTCGGATCGTTGTGCGCGCGCAATGCATCGCTCAGCACGTGTCATCGTGTGTGGGGTAGGGGGGAGGTTAACAGCAGCACCAAGACTGAGCAATCCAAATAAGTGTCCTTGACCTTGGCATTCAACGTTGGCCTAATTTACAAAGGAAAAAAAAGGGAAGGATATCGTAAAAGTATTTTCACGGCAGAATACTTATTTTCAGCCAAGTGTTTACACGAGTGCCTTGGCTATACTTGATTAGGGGGGGGGGGGAAGTCGAGTGATTAGGCCTTTACTCCCGAGACTACACAAAGTTAAACGCACGGGCTCCACACCCAGGATGGACACGTCGCAAAAACGCAAAGTTTCACTGACTTAGAAACTGTTATAGCTAAGTACGATTCAGACTTTCGGATTTGCAGTTTGATAAGTGAACGTTTTGATAATACACATAGCAACACGAGCATTGAAGTATATAGACGTACATTGAAGTTAAACGAATAAATACTAAGTACCTGAACATAAAGTTAGTGTACATCATCCGTGCCTCCATAGGTTCATACAAATATATATTTAGGCTGCTTTCGGGACAACTCAAATGTTCATGCAAATTGTTTTAATTCTCATGCAGTCGATACGGCTGTGGCTAAATGTCAACTACCTCGTTTAGTATACAGGAGGTCGTGGGTTCGATCCCGAGTTTGCACGTTTCTCTCCCGTTGGTCACGATATTTTTTTTTCCAGGGCCTCCGGTTTTTCCCTACACATTTTTTGAATCAACGTCACGCGTTTAGAGAGTTCTTGGCCGCTATAAATTCCGACGTGATAAGCCACTTCGTTGATCTATCATTTGTGATTGCCAGGTCGCTTCTTGAAAAAGAGCTACGTAGATCGGTAGGCCTTACCCGGTCAAATAAGTGTTTAAAATGTTTATTTAAGGCCTCGACACAGAGGCGTTGTTTCTCTGTGTACCTGTGTGTGTGTCTGTCTCTGTGTGTCTCTGTGTTATCTCTATCTGCTTGTGCGTCTGTCTCTGTGTATCCGTGTCTGTGTTTTGTCCCTCTCAAATTTAGCAATCTTTGGAAGAACGTAATCAACCAGGTAGGGTGTTGACTGTTATGTTAGCAGACTCTCTGTGTTGTATTGCATTATCTTTCTAAGTTTACTAGGTTTGTTTTCTCAATCAATTTGTACCTGATGATGATTGCTTGTGTTGCAATCAAAACGTCGTACGCTATTATTTAATTTACTTTTTTCTTTCTACGTGACTTTACCGAAAGAACCAAAGAGTATACAGTCAGTGTTGAATGTTTAGGATATCAGGTGATTTCCTGATTTTAAAAAAAAATGTGTCGCGCAATTTGTTTCTATTCTAATCTCCGCAAAACTTCCTGCTCACGACTCCGCTGTACGAGTCCTGTCTCTCTCTCTCTCCACTGATCGCGGATCGATCGTTTAAAGCCCACAATGCCGCAAAACACGAGTTCGATTTTTTATTATGACGGACATCACCAGTGCTAATTGATATCTTGACGCAGTCCGGGCCTCCCCATGTTCGACTCAACCTCAAACGCGTCGGTATTTGAGCACATCAGCATCATCATCAGCGGCAGCGCTTGGGAGGCAGCGGCGGGATGATGATCACGTTCAGCGCGCCCTGTTGTATAAGGCACAATAAAGTAATTAGTTATTTGCCCTGACTTAAATGCCAACGTCCCAGTTAAGGTAATCCGTACAGCCCGCCCTTCAGACCGCACCAACAACCCAATACAGCGTTTAGTCCACAATAGTAACAACAACGTAACACCGACACCAACAGTAACTACATGTAGTACAATACAACAACAAAAAGAGTGAGAGAAATTATTGTTGCCAGTGGCAACTCGAGCAAGATACCTTGGAGATGGCGTGCTCGTCATTTCCGCGCATGTGCCGCGCGGCAAATAAAGACCGAGGTGGGGGGGGTGGTGGTGGTGGTGTGGGGTGGTGGTGGTGGCCGCGCACCTGAGAACCGCGGACGACGGCTCGTGGACGGCAGCGCTCCCCAACACCCTGGGGTGCACGCCGCCGCCTCTGCCGCCTCCGCCGCTTTCGAGTGTCCAGGGTCCGGGCGTCGCTGGCCGCTCGCTCACTCGCACGCGACGACAGCGCACCGGGCGGAGACTTGGAGGACCACGCAGGGACGCACAACGGAGAGACGACGTCCGAGGAGGGGGACCCGAGCGAGCGAGCGAGCGGTGGCTGGCCGCGAGGTGCGCACGCGAGAGCCGTAGCGGGAAGGGGAAGGAACGCACGTGGCCGTGTGTGTGTGTGCGTGTGTGTGCCCGTGTGTGTGTGCGTGTGTGCCCGTGTGTGTGTGCGTGTGTGCCCGTGTGTGTGTGCCCGTGTGTGTGTGCCCGTGTGTGTGTGCGTGTGTGCCCGTGTGTGTGTGCCCGTGTGTGTGTGTGTGCCCGTGGGGAGCGGTGGTGTAGCGGTTAGCGCCACGCTGCGCTATAAACCCGGCGACGCGGGTTCGATTCCCGCTCACGGCCAACACCAGTGACGATTATCTGAACCGGTCCTGGGCCTCCCCTAGGTCGACTCAGCCTCAAATGAGTACCTTGTGCGGTGTGTAAACATCGCCACTGGGGAGACAAAGTCGGTCGGGCGTGGTGCTGGCCACCCACCCCCTCGTGTACCGTTCCGGCCTTCATAGGTGCTCGCTAACAGCACTTGCCCCTACAGTCTGTTAAGGCTATACGGGGGATCTGTGTGTGCCCGTGTGTGTGCCCGTGTGTGCGTGTGGCCGTATGTGTGTGCTCTGGATCCCGCCACAGCCTTTTGCGCGCCACGGTTAATTGAAGGCGCGTTGCAGCGCGGCGCATTGCCTTAATCAATTTCCAGTTTTTTTTGTGTTTAATTGTCGGTGTGTTCATTCACTCGATTGCGTGTGTGTGTGCGCGTGCGTGTGTGCGTGCGTGTGCGCTTAGACAAGACACGAGTTTTGGTTATTCAGCACCCATCGGAGGATTTATTTAATGCTGGGGGGGGGGGTTGGGGTTAGTCCGCAGAGAAAGAGAGAGGAGAGCGCGAGACACAGCCTCGGCTCGCTCGTAAGCAGCGGAGGGCGATGGTGCCACGGACTTTGACAAACATGAGTTCGGCGAACGTCACGAGTCACGGCTACAACGACACGGACGGCGACGCCAGCACCGTGGTCATCCCCTTCATCTACGCGGTCGTGTGCTTCGTGGGACTCCTGGGCAACTCCATGGTCATCTACGTGATTTTCCGCTACGCCAAGATGAAGACGGCCACCAACATCTACATCCTCAACCTGGCCATCGCCGACGAGCTCTTCATGCTCAGCGTGCCCTTCCTGGCCACGTCCGCGGCCATGCACCACTGGCCTTTCGGCTCGCTGCTCTGTCGCCTCGTGCTCAGCGTGGACGGCATCAACATGTTCACGAGCATCTTCTGCCTCACGGTGCTCAGCGTCGACCGCTACGTGTCCGTGGTGCACCCCATCAAGGCGGCGCGCTACCGGAGGCCGAGCATCGCCAAGATGACCAACGTGTGCGTGTGGGGTCTGTCGCTCGTGGTCATTCTGCCCATCATCATCTTCGCCGACACCGAGACAAGCGACGACGACGCGACCGACTCGGGCCGCGTGGTGTGCAACCTCATGTGGCCTCACGCCAACTGGTCGGTGGCATTCGTCATCTACGTGTTCCTCGTGGGCTTCCTCGTGCCCGTGGTGGCCATCTGCCTCTGCTACCTGCTCATCATCGTCAAGATGCGCGTCGTCGCCCTCAAGGCGGGCTGGCAGCAGCGGCGCAGGTCCGAGCGCAAGATCACTCGCCTCGTCGTGATGGTGGTCACCGTGTTCGTCATTTGCTGGATGCCCTTCTACGTCATCCAGATCCTCTACGTCTTCGGCGTGCCCACGGACCCCACGGTTACGCAGCTCTTCGTGGTGCTCAGCTACGCCAACAGCTGCGCCAACCCCATCCTCTACGGCTTCCTCTCGGACAACTTCAAGCGCTCCTTCCAGAGGACGATCTGCTTGCGCTGGATGGACGGCGGCATGGAGGAGCCGGTCGATTACTACGCCACGGCGCTCAAGAGCAAAGCCTTCAGCCGCAACGACCTGAGCCTGCCCGAGGCGGTGGAGGCGAACAACGCCGTCTATCGCAACGGGACGTGCGCTTCCCGCACCACCACGCTGTGAACTCTGGGGGGGGGGGGGGGGTGCGCGCCTCTCGGTGCCGCGGACTCACGGAGTTGCGGTGGAGGAGGGGGGGGGGCTGTGGGATGGGGAAGGGGTCGGCCCCGTGGCAGCTCCCCACACGGTACCCTCATTCAGCATCAACGTGGACAGCAGCGGGGCTGGTGACGCACATTTTACTGATACAATCCCTACCTCCCAGCGTTTTCGAGTTGATGTGGGGGGGGGGGGGGGGTTGGTGGATCACGCTAGGAGCATCGCAATGTCGTCGTGAGAATGCGCCCCCCTCGTGGCACCAAAAGCATTGGGTCGAGGTGCGCCCACTGTCGGCTGCAGCGGAGTAAGTAGTCCGCTGAGAGACCGCGTTGCTCGTGGCGTGGACTGCGAGACGCCCTCACCCGCCGCGCGACAGCACCCAGTGGGCGTCTCGAGCTGACGACCAAACCGAGGGGTCTTCCTCCTAGTGAGGTCTCGAGTGCGGCTGCTATGTTGGGGGAAAGCAGTTTATAATTGTTACAAGTGGTCTAGGATTGTGCCTATATATATGGCCCCATCCACGACCGAGACAGACGAAGAGAGAGAGAGAGCGAGGTTTATAGCCATTCTATGATCTGCCTTTGCCGATTGCAAATCACCCCGTTCCACGCATCGTAGGGTGAGTCCGCAGGGCTTAAACGCAAGGGCGAATTTATGCGCGCAGCCTGGATTGGTTTCCTTTTGCTCAAGCACGGAGACGTTGTCAATTCTTTAAGTTACACGTGCCGCAATTGTGGGGGCACGTGTCGCGCTGTTCGAGACGCGGTCCCTGAGTGAGCAACAGGGGGGGCTCGGCTCGTGCGTGGGCCCCAAGCACCATCGACGGCTCCTCGTGAAGTTAAAAGCAAGGCAGCGACGCTTATTGTAAACCACCTCTTGTTGTTGAATTGTTGTTGGGTTTTTTTTTGTTGTTGTTGGTACCGATCCCACGAAGTGGCCCCCATTAATGCTCCGCCTGCTCACTGGCTCGGAGTCCCACGCACGGCCGCTCACGCGCGCATTCTGTTCGATGTGTTGCGGGGTTCTTTTTTTTGTGTTTTACTGCGGGACGACACGGAAGTCTATGTTACGTGCTGCGTGTGGGGTTTTTTTTTTGGAGGTTTACGGCGCAAAAGTCTCCGCTGCGTCGCACAATGCCATTTGCTTGGTGAACGTGTGTCGAGTGCCCGAAATAAACTGCGATTCAGGCTGCTCGTGTTGCGATCTCTCTGTCTGGTCTGGCGGGATCGGCGCACACGTGGAACGCAGCGTGGGGTTGGCGGATCACGGTGTGAAGGAGAGGGTTTGCAGTAGTACAGGGTGCTTAGAAAAAATGTTAACACTTATATGGGGCTATCTGTTTTTTCATGGAAAAAGAACGGATAATACACTGTAACATGTTAACAAATGTAAAGTTAATAGCTTCAAAAAGTCAGAGAGTCTCCACTTGGTCGCCATCGTTGTCAACACGTGGCCTGGAATCTTCTCCAGGTGGTCTCCAGAGCCCAAAGACAAATTTCTCGTGGCATTGTTGCAAATTCTCTGAAGTGTTGCAATTTTTTTGTTAAACACCATATACTACTCCGTAGGGGTTTTTCGCGGCCCTGCTGTGTGGCCACACGGCATATCGTTCGGCACGATATCCGAAACCTCGCTCCACGTGCTCGGAACGTTTCTTCTTCGGGAACTGAAGAAGCTCCCCGTTAGTGGAGCTAAACGTCGAACATCTTACCCAACAACACGCGGTAACAACCCAGGGGGGGGGGGGGGGGGGGTTGGTGGTTCACGCTCACATCAACCAGCGACGCGACACTCTCAATGCACGGGGCTACGGGGTGGTCATGAGGTAGGAGTACAACGAGTGGATCCATCACCTGCCCGGGCGATTCCTCGAATGCGCGGTGTTTGTCCAGGTACCCAGGTCAACATTTCCCACGTGGAGTCAGAACGCTCACACATCCTATGGACTCATCCTGAGATTCGGCGAGGCTTTTCCCGTGCTCGGCTATCAGCATTAAACGTCACACGCTACTGTTAAAAGAAGCAGCGCATTTACAGTGATCTCAGCCGCCCCGTGGGTCCTACGTCGCGCAAGGGTGTGGCGTGCGACGTTGAGATGGGGTGAAGCCGGATTGATAACCGCTCAAAAAAACAGCACCCCCACCCCGCACGGTATGCACGGAGCCGTCACATCTATTTACTGTTGTTATGATACCAAGGTAAGGCCCACTGAGCTGTATGGCTCTTGTTCGGAAACGACTTGGCCATCGCAGATGATCGCGCGACGAAATGGCTCGTCATGTGGACACTTACAGTGAGGGAAAAAAGTATTTGATCCCCTGCTGATTTTGTACGTTTGCCCACTGACAAATAAAAGCTCAGTCTATAATTGTAATGGTAGGTTTATTTGAACAGTGAGAGACAGAATAACAACAACAAAATCCAGAAAAACGCATGTCAAAAATGTTATAAATTGATTTGCATTTTAATGAGGGAAATAAGTATTTGACCCCTCTGCAAAACATGATAGTACTTGGTGGCAAAACCCTTGTTGGCAATCACAGAGGTCAGACGTTTCTTGTAGTTGGCCACCAGGTTTGCACACATCTCAGGAGGGATTTTGTCCCACTCCTCTTTGCAGATCTTCTCCAAGTTATTAAGGTTTCGAGGCTAACGTTTGGCAACTCGAACCTTCAGCTCCCTCCACAGATTTTCTATGGGATTGAGGTCTGGAGACTGGCTAGACCACTCCAGGACCTTAATGTGGTTCTTCTTGAGCCACTCCTTTGTTGCCTTGGCCGTGTGTTTTGGGTCATTGTCATGCTGGAATACCCATCCACGACCCATTTTCAATGCCCTGGCTGAGGGAAGGAGGTTCTCACCCAAGATTTGACGGTACATGGCCCCGTCCATCGTCCCTTTGATGCGGTGAAGTTGTCCTTTCCCCTTAGCAGAAAAACACCCCCAAAGCATAATGTTTCCACCTCCATGTTTGACGGTGGGGAATGTGTTCTTGGGGTCATAGGCAGCATTCCTCCTCCTCCAAACACGGCGAGTTGAGTGGATGCCAAAGAGCTCCATTTTGGTTTCATCTGACCACAACACTTTCACCCAGTTGTCCTCTGAATCATTCAGATGTTCATTGGCAAACTTCAGACGGGCATGTAAATGTGCTTTCTTGAGCAGGGGGACCTTGCAGGCGCTGCAGGATTTCAGTCCTTCACGGCGTAGTGTGTTACCAATTGTTTTCTTGGTGACTATGGTCCCAGCTGTCTTGAGATCTTCCCGTGTAGTTCTGGGTTGATTCCTCACCGTTCTCATGATCATTGCAACTCCACGAGGTGAGATCTTGCATGGAGCCCCAGGACGAGGGAGATTGACAGTTCTTTTGTGTTTCTTCCATTTGCGAATAATCGCACCAACTGTTGTCACCTTCTCACCAAGCTGCTTGGCAATGGTCTTGTAGCCCATTCCAGCCTTGTGTAGGTCTGCAATCTTGTCCCTGACATCCTTGGAGAGCTCTTTGGTCTTGGCCATGGTAGAGAGTTCGGAATCTGATTGATTGATTGCTTCTGTGGACAGGTGCCTTTATACAGGTAACAAGCTGAGATTAGGAGCACTCTCTTTAAGAGTGTGTTCCTAATCCCAGCTCGAAACCTGTATAAAAGACTCCTGGGAGCCAGAAATCTTTCTTATTGAGAGGGGGTCAAATGCTTATTTCCCTAATTAAAATGCAAATCAATTTATAATATTTTTGACATGCGTTTTTCTGGATTTTGTTGTTGTTATTCTGTCTCTCACTGTTTAAATAAACCTACCATTAACATTATAGACTGATCATTTCTTTGTCAGTGGGCAAACGTACAAAATCAGCAGGGGATCAAATGCTGTTTTTTCCCTCACTGTACATGGTGTCTTACTGTCCACGTTCGCATTGCAGAGGGACAAGTTCGTGAGACAAGTTCGTGAGACAAGTTCGATCAGTGGCGCCGTCATCCACAAATACAAAAAAAAGTTTCCCCATATCTAGACTCGCAATGCGGCGAGCAAGAGGAAGTGTCCGATGCCGAGCACCTAGAGGTGGAAATCCAGCCCCGGCACGTCTCTCGGAACGTTGTACAAAGTAATGGATGGAGCCAAAACGAGGGATGACAAGGTTCTCTTCGAGATAAATAAAAAAAACACAGCACAGCTGATGCCTCTGAACGACTGCTCACCGTTAAAGCCCAAACCACCGCAGTGCATTGCGGGCTCCCGCTGACCGCAAAGCTGGGATGCTAAACTAAAGGTTCGGTACCGTCACAACATTGCGCAACAGCTGTCAGCACCGGTTATTAGGGGGGGGGGGGGGGGAAACGATTAATCATTGACCCAGAAGATACACACAGCACTGCATTACATGCGGCTGTGTGCCCTACGCCGAGTTGGCCAGAGCGGGAGAGAGGGAGGTGGTAAGCGCGCGTGTTCAAGGGAAGTTCCGGAGACGGATCAGATGGTCACAGGGGCAGTGCGCTCGCTGTCTTCAGGGGACGCGTGTGAGGGCGGAGGGCACACAGGGCAGGGGTGGCGGCGGGGGTGGTGCTTGGTCAAAGGGAACGTCTCGCGCAAAATCAGCGATTGCCGGCCACGGGCGTCCAGAGACCGCGCGATTGAGGTGGAAGTAAGAAGCACTCGGAGAGAACAGACCGTTGTTTAACTAAATCGCTGCTCAGCACCGCGTTATCGGCAATGCGTGTAACGCTTAAAGCTACACCGCAATCGACGTTCGATTGCACACCAGCGGAGCCAACGCGGCTGACGGCCGTGTAACCCGGCGAGGAAATCGTCGGAGCAACACGAATCAACAGCAACAACGCAAAGCAAATATCCAAAAAAGCACATCGGGCACACATTTCAAAACGCGCTTTTAAAATAATATATTTTTTGTTGGGCGGACAACAATTTACGTAAATAATTGACTTGTTAAACAGAAAGCAGGAAGCTTAACCTGTGCTTAAACTGGATCATCTTAATGACAGTCGATGCCCTCAGCCCGATCAGCAATTAATGCTGCAACAACAACAGCAGCAACAAGAAATCCCATCACATTAAATTTGGTGCTGCGCTTAATTTTACTGAAATCCACCTTTGAGAATTAAAACCATGGGTGTTGTGCCACGGGCATTGCTCTCATAAGGCAGAGCGGGTGGGAAAGTGCTTCCATCTACAGCGTGGTCCAGATGTCTTGTGGCCCCAAATTAATGGACCCCGAACATGAGATTTTCCCTTGTGCGTATTCATTTCTATTTCCACACCCATTTGTATGCAACTAAAATAAAGTTTTAGAGAATTAAATGGGGGGGGGGGGGGGAGGGGTCACAATATATCTGGATCACCTTGTACCGTGCGGACCAGAGGTCACTATTAATCTATCTCCTTATTTAACCAGGGAAGCCACACCGAGTCGTGGGATGGGTTTTTCTCGGCTCCTGCATTGGAATGATTGACCAACACCAATCACATTTCACGTCCTTCGTCTTTTAAGCTGTGGGAGGAAACCGGAGAACCCGGAGGAAAACCCAATAACAAACAGCACATGTGGAGGTAGAAACGGCGTCAGAGTCGGGGATTGAAGCCAGCAGTTCGGCGCAAGTGGTTCGCACTTACGTCACCCTTGCGCCTGTCTCAATGGATCGCAAGAGGTAATTCTGTGATATCTGCTCCCGTGGGTCGTGATCTTCCACGGGGGGGGGGGGGGGGGGGGGTGGTAGCGGGAGGGGTGGCACGGCACGTGTTCGAGAGGCACGTGTTTCGAGAGGCACGTGTTCGAGAGGCACGTTTCGGCCGTGTTCGAGAGGCACGTGTTCGAGAGGCACGTCGCTGTTCGAGAGGCACGTGTTCGAGAGGCACGTGTTCGAGAGGCACGTGTTCGAGAGGCACGTGTTCGAGAGGCACGTGTTCGAGAGGCACGTGTTCGAGAGGCACGTGTTCGAGAGGCACGTGTTCGAGAGGCACGTGTTCGAGAGGCACGTGTTCGAGAGGCACGTGTTCGAGAGGCACGTGTTCGAGAGGCACGTGTTCGAGAGGCACGTGTTCGAGAGGCACGTGTTCGAGAGGCACGTGTTCGAGAGGCACGTGTTCGAGAGGCACGTGTTCGAGAGGCACGTGTTCGAGAGGCACGTGTTCGAGAGGCACGTGTTCGAGAGGCACGTGTTCGAGAGGCACGTGTTCGAGAGGCA